AAGAGTACTGAAGGATTTGCCTTAAAACATTTGGACAAAAGATTGATACAAAAGGATCATATTGAAAGATTAGAGGCATGAACTGGCAAGACGAAAGGAAATCTACTGTGCCACCTTTGTTACAAAGAATTATTGCTGAGGCAGAGGGAAGAAACAAAGGGTGTATCAGATCCAACAGTGGGAGAAATTGCACTGATGGTGTGATGCACTTTGAGTAGTTTGAGCAGAACCTTGATTGGCCACTTCCTCTGATTAGATAACTATTCAAGTTTAGCAGCAATTAGATGTTGTTTATCAACGTGAAAAGAATGTGTGATGTTTTGATACAGAGGCTCCTTTAATTCACTTTATCCTTCTTATTTCTATCTTTAGTTTATTGACTGGCTTATCAGTATGGTGGAAAGTCCTAAGGAAGCACTATCAAAATCTTCCACAGACCTGCTGAAAGGTAGAGTATTTTTAATTGAGTCCTTATTTTTCCATAACTATGAATCCAGAGGAGAAAACAAACAAACAAACAAACAAAAAAACTGTTATTAAAGGACTAAGATGAATCCGTGATATTAGCAGATATAGGAGAGCCATATTTTGTCTTTAACGCAGCCTTCACAGGTAACACCTGTCTATAACACCTTTTCTAATTCTTTCATGTCTCATCTACTGCCTCCTGTGATTTACTTCTGAAGATCCAAGGAATGTAATTGTGCACCTGGTCCTATGAGTGTATTTCAGTGATAGATCTATCAATTGCTTTTGAAGTTACCCTTAAAAGTAAAATACTTTTGTGTTTTATTTTATGTAAACCCTACTATACTAGAATAGAAAATTTAAAACAAAATTCGTTCAGGTGCAACTGAACTGTGGGAAGGGACACGAGACAGACAGTGGCAGCTTAGTATAGAGGTCTAACAAGTGCGAGGAGTAACAGAATAGAAGGGAAATAAAGATAGATGGAAAATGCATATTTTGAATTATAGAAACATCCTAGCTTGCACCACATAGCCCACCATAAAAGATAGGGTTGTGATATAATCTGTGCAAGTGATTTTAAGAGGACAATGCAAATACTCTCAAGCAAAGGGAGTGTGCTTTTTCTTCTTTCTGTTAGCACAAGGCACCTCCTTTGAATCACCTGATTTGTTGTACCTGAACATGCTTTCTTGAAATCCAGTTCAAGTTATTTGCATTACTAGGACAATTAGCCGTCTTTTGAGAGTCTAGAGTCTCTAGTCACTCTTTGATAAAAATTCCCCTATTGTATCTGCTAATCTTCACCACACTCAGAACAGCAGAACTAATACTAAGAGATATTGGGGGAATCTTCTTTATAATCACAAGATTCAGATACATACAGTAGACTGTCACTGTGCCCTGTTTGAGACATCCTTATTTTCCATGAGTCTTCCACTGTTGTGTTTTTTGTTGTTTTTTTTTAAAACTAGAAAATCCGTCCTGGATGACTAGAATGTGGTTTGGTAACTGGGTTCTGCCTAAAAGCGTGACCCTTTCAAATTGAAGAATCAGTGAATTGCACTGTGAATCAATGAATTGCACAGAGAATAGACCTTGTACCTTCTGCTTCTGTCCCTCCTAGTTCTTCCTATCTCTTCTCTTGGATCACCTGTCATTGAATTCAGGCTTCCTGCAGTGTTGGTTGATCTATGTGACACTTCAAAGTGATAGTCTAATTAGCAGATGGTGGTGTGATATTATTTCAGTGGAAGACATGCCATAAAGCAGGTGAAAGGTCTAATACAGCATCACATTTCAGAGGATTTCAGAGGGATGTAGAGACTAGTATATCTTGTGAACAGCGGAAGTAACATCAGAAGCTGTCAAGCTAGGAAATGAAAGTCATGAAAACAGTCCGTAAAAGGAGAAGTGAATCTGTACCTGTTAGCAAAATGAAAGGGAGAATACTCACACATCCTTTCTGGATGCATATATCAATGTGGTTTGTCCTTGTCTTCACAGCTACGCTTCTAGCCTTGAGATCTCTTGCAGAATTCAAGAAGAAAGCAGTGTGGACTAAAGCTTACCAGTGGTAGCTGCATGCCATATCCTACCCAACAAAGAAACCTGTTCATACTTGAAAGCATGCTGTTATTATTCAGTCATCAAGAAGACCAATTTTAATGATGTTTCGTATCAGAAGGTTTTTGATTTTTGTTTATTTGTTATTGTTAATCTTTTCTCCTCCTCCCAAAGACTCATAAGATGAAAAACAATTTATATTTCACTGGTGGGGTTATGGTCTCTTACAAACTGTCTGGCATGGTTTGAGCTGTGCTGAATCTAAATGAGAAGCACACATTCATTTGTGTTTCAGTTGAAGTGTTTCAGTGACACCTGGGAGCCTCAAAAGCTTGAGTGGACTGTGCCTTTAACCATGGAAGCTTTGTTAGGAGCAAGTGAAAAAAATAAAATAATGTAAAATTTGTTTGGATGTTGCCTATTTATTAAAGTGTATTTTAGTACAAAATACTTGAATGAGCATTAGTTGTTAACTGACAACCCTTTCTTAGTAATAACACGATGCCCTTGTGCAGTAGTGACAATGCACTGAAGGTATATAACATGAACAGACTTTCTGAAAGGGGTGCTATGCATGTTAGTTTTGCAACTGCTTTGTCAAGCCCGTTTGTCAATGATTCTAGTGTCTCCTAGGACACTGGGAGCTCTAAGGTTGTTGCAATTTTTTGTGCACTTAAAGTCATTCTTGTCTGCACATCTTTGCATGTAAGAAGAGCTTTTCTCTTCCTCTAGGTAAAAGAGGTAAAGAGGTACTACAACATCTCTTTTCCATCTTTGTTGTCTTACCATAGATGAAGCCCCTGCCATTTTCATTATTTAATAGCCTTCTCTTTCTGAAGGAATAAAGAACTTTAACACTTTGCAGTCTTGCTAAGACAGATCTTAAAGGGGGGTTGTATTCAATAATCATCCCCACTAAACTCAACAAAAATTAATTGAAAATAATTGCTTGGGCACTGATGATTAATGTCTTCCAAAGCAGTACTACTGAGAGCATCACTGATTTTAACATTATGTCCCTACATCTAGAAGCCACACCCCACTGCAAGAATTTTCTTAACATCAAGATCGATAACACTTCCCGTGCAGCAGAAACTCTCCTCTGACTCCTTCATTGGTATTTCTTACCTACCAAGGTCACCATTGCATGGCAGTGAGCTGTGAGGAACAGCTGCTGGCTGTTAACCCGTGCCTTCAGTGACTGGGTGTGGGCAGGATCACCAGAGTGCTTGTTTCCATTTCTGAATTACGGTATAATGAGGGTAATTTCCTGCTCTGTAACCAGCTATATTCAGAGAAGACAATCTTGAGGTGAACACATAGAAGGACTCACTGGAAGGAGTTGTCAGTATCCCAGTGCATGACATTTTTATTACTGTTGACTTCAAAGTAACCTCTAACAAAGCCAAACATATTTTAATGGTGCCATCTCTAGTGTGCTGTTTCAGAGTAACTTACAGTGCTACCCATCAGAGTCTGCATGTGTCTTAGCATTTTAGCTCAGATTAAAAGTGTGTTTTTTAAAGGGAATCTCTGGGTAATGCCCATGTGCTGGGCCTTAGTTTGCTTAGTGGACCAGTGTGTAAGCTTCTGAATTAAAGCATATACACTGTAATTACTCCAACATAGTCTTATAACTCTGTGTGCTCAGCCAACAGGACTAAACTAGAGATAGTGTGAAGTAAAACCCTCCAAAAGTCAGGTAAGTTCACTGTTGGGCCCTTAAGGAGAATCACAGAATTGTAGGGGTTGGAAGGGACCCCAAGAGGTCATCAGGTCCAACCCCCTTGCCAAAGCAGGTAAAAATCCTCCTACACTGTAGTTACATTGGGCTGCTTTTCTCGCGAGAATGTGCATAGGCTGTGACAGAGATACTGTTCTTCCTGTTGTGTGCAGGTGCTGGATAATAAAAATCCTATTAATGATTATCATTAATAATTATAAGTGATCTCTTTCAAAATAGTATGTTCCTGTGGAGACTGACTTTCAAGGACTGAGGTGGACAAGTTGTTTGCTACTGCATTTTCAGTATGTGAGAAGGCAGCAAAAAGGGAGTTGGTGATGAAGAGATCAGTAGGACATGTTCTTGTGACTCCAGTATAGACATTCTGTAGGCAAACAAAAATAGTAATAAATAATGGCTTATAAAAATAAACAATAAATGATTTTTTTATAAACAATAAACAATAAATGATTTTACATATAATCCTTATAATTCTACTTTTACACCATTATTTATATGATTTTTTTTTAATGGCAGAAATATGTGATAGGCTCTTTAGGAATAGAAGGCTACTGTTTAGTCACTTTCAATTATATATCACTTCTTAGTGATGCTCCTTCCACCTTGTCTGTGCAGTTGGTTCTTTTTGTCTGTTTACATATGAGAGAAAAGCACTTATTTTTATTCCAATATCAGAATTCCAATACATGACTTGAATGGGGATACAGGTGAGCTGGGATATCAAGACTGAGTTAAATTTTGATCAAAGGTGTAAGTTCCCAAAAATTAAGTTAGGAAACTTTTAAGGCACCTTTTTGCCTGCCCAATCCTGAGTTTTATTTTCCAGAAATTAAGTAAAGCAAAGTTTGTGGCCTGCCCCAAGTTAGCTCTGCACAAGAAGTAGAGTGGGGGAGTCTCCTGAAAATAACGTCACTGTGGGGTTTCTTCTCACAGTGACTTGAAAAATCCTTCTACATTTCCAGTCTTTTAGCCAGCTATAAGAATAAATGCAAAGGGGGAGTGTTGCATCCTGATATACGTATGCATGTATGTATATATAAATCATAAACTAATAACCATGGCTTAGTAGGAGTATCTGTGGTGGTTCTCAATGTTGGTTGGCTGCTGGGTGCCTACCTTGCCTCCTCAAGAGGACAGGGAGAAAACTGTGAGAAATCTCATGGGTAGGGTAGAGATGAAGACAAGGTGATTCCTTAGCAGTTACAACCACGGGCAAACAAACTTGACTGGGAGAAGATCAGTTTATTGCCAAATAAAAACAGGGCAGTGAGAAGCACAGGCACAGCTCTAAAATACCTTCCTCCCACCTCCCTCTTCTTCCCAGGCTCAACTTTACTTCTTCATTCCTGACTCCTCTGAGTGGTGCAGGAGGGATGGGGAATGGAGGCTGTGATCAGTCCGCAACACTTCGTTTCTTCTGCGTCTTCCACATCACACGTTTCCCCTGCTGCAGTGTGGAGTCCCTCCCATGTGACACAGTCCTTCAGAAACCACTCCAGCATGGGTCCTTCCCATGGGCTGCGGTTGAGAACTGCTCCAGCACGCATCATTTCCATGGGCACAGTTCATCTAGAAAAGTCTGCACTAGCATGGGTCCCTCAAGCTACAGTTCCTGCCGGGAGTCTGCTCCAGCACAGGCTTTCCATGGCTGCATCTTCAGGATGTAACCGTCTGCTCTGCTGTGGGGTCCTCCACAGGCTGTAGCACACAGATCTGTTCCGATGTGGTATACCACGAACTGCAGGGGCGTTGCTCCACCAAGGTCTTCACAGACTGCAAGGCTCTGCTGTAATGCTTAGAGCACCTCCTCCCCCTTCCTTTTTCCCACCTTGATGTCTGAAGGGTTGTTTAGCTCACATTTTCTCACTCCTTGTCCTCACAGCTGCTGCACATTTTGTTTTACCCTTTTGTAAATATGTTTTCAGAGGTGCAGCCAGCATTGTTAACAGGCTTGGTGTTGTCCCACAGTGGCTCTGTTTTGGAGCCAGTTGGAACTGCTTGTGTCTGGCAAGGGGTCAGCTCCTGGCCTCTTCTCACAGAAGCCATCCCTGCAGCTTCCCCACTGCCAAATACTTGCCACGTAAACTCAACATATGTCATGCTTCCTCATACAGGATGTTGATTCTATACAGTTTTACACCAAAAGCATTATACTGAATTGCCAGAGGGGAACGTGTCTCTGTTTCACCTTTTGTGTGTTACAGTCATTTGATTATGAAGTTTTCTTCTTTGGGCTCTCTTCTTTAAAGCTGCCATCCTCTTCAGCTGCTTTATGCTCTTCGTTATCCAGACTGTCTACACTTGAATCAGTTTGGGTCTGACAGAAGTGCAAAGTGAAAGTACCTCAGTGTCTAATAAGGTCTGAGTAACTAACTCTGCAGCGCTTTCAAAATATCCGGGGTTGCCCATTAAACTATTGCATGTGTGACCCTGTTGCTTATGCTTCATAAATACTCCAGTAGTCACAGCAGTCTGCAGGCATTGTCTGCCACATACATTGAATAAAAACGATAGTAGGTGACTTTTCATAACAGCTTAGCTCATACGGACTAGCCCCAGTTGTTCCCAGTTACAACAGTCTGAACCCCCTCTTAAGCTGCATGGCTTAGAAAGTTGTAACAACAGCCTCTTCGTAACATGAATGCATTTCTTCTGCTTTTAACTCTCTCCCCCAAGGTTTCATCCAAGTTTTTTTTTAAAATAGCTTCACTTTTCTTCCCCACCTGCATGAACTCAAATGCAGATGATAAGCATACAAATGAAACATAAGAAAAACCCCTGTCTACCTCTGAGCAATTTGTGCAGCAAGTATGGTCTATTTTCTACTATACAGAGTTCCCTGGGCTGTTATCCATGTTCTTGACACCCAGTTTCAAAGAGACTGTATTCTGTCCCTGTTCTCACAGATCGTCCTACAGAAGCATGAGGGGCAATGCACTTGAGTAAAACTGCATCTTCTACAAAAAGCAGAATTTTGTACATGGGTTTTGATGGTCATGACCTTCACTTCAAAGAACAACATATATTTAGTCTGGCTTGATCACATTTCTTTTGGTCACCTGTTTGCTGTTCAGCATGGAAGAAAAATCTTTGCAAGGAAAAAGATTCTTAATGTCTGTCAGAAACATGATTACAAGCTTTGTTTATGCCCCTTAAATATCCCCTTGGGCATACAGTCGATGAGTAACTTCTCAAGTGACCAAGGTCACTTGCCTTCTTGCTTTAGTTGCATTTTCTAGAGTCTTTTTTGCGAGGTGAAAGGATCTGTTGTGAATGCTCGGGGCTAATCAGCTGGTGAATCTCACAGGTTTCCAGCTTCGGCTCCTTGAGAGATTCCAGTTCTAACCAATTTAATATTTATTTATATATAAACATATATGTTTGCCTAATGTAGACTAATCACATATTAAATAATTTTGTTGTTGTTGCAGAATACCTGTTGCTGATGAGGCAAGAATTAACAGGAAAACAAGTATTGTTAGTGTAATTGTGGGTCGAGGCACCCTTTTCAATTTTTTTTCCTGAGTTTTCTTATATATGTTAGAAAAAATATATTCATTTTAAAAATTCCTGACATTTGAAGGCAAAACTTGAAAAACTATCTAGTTATTCAGAGCAGCTCTTTTTGTAGGTGCATTAGAGACCTTTGTTTTCTGAAAATTCAACACAGCTGGATAACGTGCATCCAAACAGGAGTTGTGCATTGAAAATCTTTGTCTTATTTTTCTTTGCTTATAATACGCAGCAGCCCACTGGGAGTGTATTTCTTATTTCAAAGCAAGATATCAACTTAGCTTCTTTTCTTTTTGATGTTGCCAGTGCCTAGGTGAGCCTTCCTTTCTGAGAAGAGGTTCTGCGTGATAAAGCACATACCTGAATTAAAACACAAAATGATGTAAGAACAAGGGAGGGGAGACCACAGCAGCTTTAATTCATTTAGGAGGAACAGTATGAGTCTTTGGCTGGCAACCCTGAACAGTCCCTTGTGTGAACTGAATAACAGATCACTACAGTGATGAGATTATTCCAGTTAGCATTAAAACCAATGACAGAACAAAGGCTTGGCTGTAAGGTTAGCTATAGTTCAAATTTTTCAACAATATATGGTTGAAAAGAAGAAGTCTATTTACACACAATTTCGGGATTTTCTTTGCCACCCCTTTGATTGTTAAATTGGCTGTAGAAGTTTTAATATAAATGTAAGTCTTCATTGCCAGCTGGGAGGAATGAGTGAGGAAGGGTAGCATAGAATGAGCGTGTGACCAAATGGAAATTGATTTTAAAAACATCTCCGTAAGTATATGTAAGGCCAAGATCATTAAAGTACTTTTATATATATGCATATATATTTTATTTTTAACCCTCCAATGCAAACACCGTGTTTCAGAACCAATTATTTGTGTTTGAAAGATATCAGAATTCAAACCAGCTGGTGATGAACCAAGCTGTAGTATTCGGTAGATGTTACAGAGAGATTTAGAGTTTCTGAAAGGAGCTGGACTGATTCGATTTTGATTTTTAGTTGCTATAAGTATTGCAGCTGTGCTGCAAGTTGGCTTTCTGGAAGATAAGATACTTACCTATAAACAGTACTAGCAGGTACATTTTCAGAACATAGGGGAAGTAGATTGAGAAGGCGAATGGTAATGGTAGCTTGATGGAGTATGTCCCAAAGGTTTCAAAATAAGGCAGCGATACGTAGATTGCAAATGCTGTAACATAACACAGGAAATCTTTAGCCAAAAGGAGGTAGAAGATCATCAAAAAGCTTCATGTAAAAAAGTCAGTTACCTGGAAGGCACAGATTGCCTTATTATATACCGAATTTAGCGTATTGTTTGTATGCATATATACATGCTATTTTCTCCTTGAGTTCAGTTTCATAGGTCTGAGATGCCAATTGTTCTTAACACTAGAATTAGTAAAGTTTACTGTTCAAAAACAAATTCTGCCACTGCCATAGCTGCACCCTTGGCAGTTTGATCTCAGTGGGGACATTTGCTGGTGTGTGATAAGCAACTAAGCATGGCCTAAGCTGCTAGTGTCAGGTTCAGTGGGGGAACAGGCAGCTTTGCTATTTGTAGGCTAATGTGGTCAGTCTGGAATGGGGAATTTGTGTGTCTTTCAAGGAGCTATTTTGTTTATCCAGAAAGATAAGTGTTTTCCTGTACTGTTAAGAAGCAAACAGAACCCCAAATAAGGAGAAAAAAAAAAAAAAAAGTACAGAAAAGAGGGAGATAGGTGATACAGAGGTTAATAAGACAGTACATAAACAATTATAAGTACTTTGGCAACACAAAATATCTTAAAAACACAAATGACAATCAAACTGATCACATTTTATTGGAGAAGATTAATGAAGCAAGTGGTTTGTCCCCTTCCTATAGAATCATAGAACGGTTTGGGTTGAAAGGGGTTTGGGTTGAAAGGGGCCTTAAAGATCCACCACCAATTCCAACATCCCCAGGGACACCAACCCTTAAACCAGGAGCTCAAAGCCCCATCCAGCCTGGCCATCTCCTCACCTTTAGCCAGAACAGAAAGGGGGTAGAGCAGGATGCACAGTGAGAAGTTCAGCCACGTCAGTGGTAGGTAGTATATTCCTGTCCTTGCTAACATGTTGTAAGTGTACCTGCAGCAACAGAAGAGCAGATGACTCAGAAGGAACAAGCATTTAAAGAATGTTTATTTATAAGCATCTTTATAAGCTTCTTTCTATTTAAAGAAATACTATTGAAGAATCTGAGGCAGTTGCAGAAGAGTGTGGAGGTGAACATCTCAGAATCTTTCAGAGCAGATCTGCAGAAATTTTTTTCAGGTCGGCTGGTATTCAGGTCTGAAAATTGATGGTTCATTGTTTCAGAAGCCTTGTCTGCGGTGCTACCTAGAGCAGTCAGACAGTAATACAGCCCTCCGACCCAAAGGTGTTCTCAGAAAAGAACAAGATTTCACATCAGTCCATCAGAAAACAAATTTCAGATAGGGTTGTTACAACTGAGAGGGGCATATAGTGTCTGACTGTTGCTTGGGATTGACAAAATGCTGATTTACAGCTGCTGAAATGGCTAAAGCACTGGTGGAGGAGGCTAAACAGTGAGATAATAAAAGGTACTCACTCTTCTATAGCACAACAGCTGCCCCTCCTCCAGGCATCAGGAGGAGTCACTGGTTAAAAAGCAGCTACAGTCCAATGTAATGCAGTTTTTTGTTTGTTTGTTTGTTTTAATGTGGGTGTTGGTGTTGCGGTTGGTGTTGCGCACTAGGAGACCAGGATTTCAGTCTCCAAAAGTGATCTAATGAGCGTGTATGATCTACAAACAAACTAGTGGTTTTCCAGATACTGGAGAAATTTATCTGATCACTTTTTTTTTTGGGGGGGGGGTTATTTGGAAGGCTCTTTGACCTGTGGTCATGCTAGACATATCTAAAAAAAAGATTTGTAAGCCACTGTTAGCCAGAACTGTTTCTGACAGATAGAACCAAAATTAAATAAACTTTCTGTATATGTATGCATTCATTTGACTACTATTATATTATTCCCACATTGTAGAAGAGGAGTTTGATAGGCTGGAAACGTACCATCTCTCAGGCTTGCCCTCCACAACCTCCAGATTGTCTCAATTTTTTTCATTAGTGTTTTTAAGGAATAATCTCAACCTAGCACAAAAAGGAGACAGGTACTTCCTCTCTCTATACCTTATTGGACTGTTTATAGTATAAGCAAGAAAGCTCAAATATGGGAAGCTTCACAGTATATGCCCTCAGTATATCATCAGCCATAATGCAGAGGATATGTATGTCCCTGAAGAATGAAGAATTTATAATACTTTAGGACCAGTATGCTGACAGATGGGATAATTTCCAGCATACTTTTAGACATGTGTTGCTTTGGTTGCTGGGGCTCAGCACAGATGCTGTAAAATAAACCAGAAATGATTTCTAATTCACTATGAGTTGTTTTATGCGTTCTTGTTTGAATTGTTTATTTGCTGCTTCAGACCACAGTATTTTGCTTATTAAAGAGTCACTGTTATTGCTGTGATGTTGGACCATGTTCTTTAGCAATGATGGAAAATAATTATGTATTGTCAGGACTGAACAGCTAATATTATTTACACTTTTGGCCTCTCCATATCTGCACAGAATGTTTTCATTTGAGATTAAGTTCTACTTTTTTAGCTTTATAAAATTCAAAAAGAAATGGAATGGAGTGATAAGCGAAATAATTCAGATGTAGTAATTTACTGACACATGTAGTACAAATAATCTGAAGCTGACTTAAAATCTTTCTTATCAATACTAACAGTCGTTTTCCTTTTTCAGCTCTCTTTTGTAACACACATTTCCTCTGCTGCCCAAATCCATATTCCCCAGTCAGTCCTGAAAATAATGTATTCAAAACAGCAGAGAGCTATTTTAACACGTGGTATGTAATACATAAAGATATTTGCTTCTGTATGGCAGCTGTCATGAGGGCTGTGTCTTGTTTGAACACTTCTTAACTCCATACACCTTCCTTGTAAGTCTACAAACTGAGATCCACAGAGGCCTAAATAACATTTGAAAAATGTTATTGACTGCAGATACCAATGCAAAAATCATCAAGATAGAATTTTCACCATCACATTTTACCAGTGAGAGGGACTGGACACCTTTCACTGTACAAAACTTTTGGGATAAAAATCCTGGACTGTGTTCCTATCTATTTTGCCTCATGTGAGTTCTCTCCGTGGTGTGATTTATGTCCAACTATACTAAAACTCTCACTCTCTGCAGCAGGTGCTCCTTGGCTGTTTGAAAAGCACAGTGCAATTAACCCAGAATAATCTTTTGGTCTTAGTAAGAAGTTCTGCGTGTGCTGCCTTACCGTGCTGTCAGTCTTGCATAAACACATTATGTTAAAATAAACTGATGTGCTCTTAAATATTAAAAAAAAATATGATTGTAAATCAGTTTGGGAAATTACCGCTCCTCAGGAGATAGTTGTGATTCCCTTACACATTTTTGTTAAGAATGTCAAATCCTTTGAACTAGAAATATTAATGCAGTGATTTGTGTAAAATCACACTGTCTTTTTGATATGCCAATTATTCTAAAAATCAATAGGTAGCTTACGAGGTCCAACTTTTTCTTTAAAATCAATAATGTGCTTTTCTGACGATTTTGATATAATGAAATGATGAGCATGCAAAATGGGCTGGGGGGAGGGGAGGGCTCTGCTTGCAAGAATTAACCGTGTTCCCTTCACAATTTCACCATTGACTTCTTACCTGACCACATCTAATAAATTCCAAAGGAAAAATAAAACACACACAATGTATTTCCCTTGAACTTCTTCCTGACTGTTGATCACGACAAATAAAACAATTATTCTCTCAGTGATCTGAAAGGGAAAAAGAATTGTGAATTCACATGTCATCTTCTGTAGCTCTCATTTCAGTGTCATTTTGGCAAAACAGGAGGACACAGGTCAATCTGATTTGTTTTACGCAGACTCCAATGAACATTCATTTCTTGGCATACCTTTTGTTCAAGACCCCATGGGCACTCATCTCTGGGCAGTGTGATCACAGAATCACAGAATATCCTCAATTGGAAAGGAACCACAAGGATCATCAAATCCAACTGCTGGCTGTGCACAAGACCACCCAAAAATCCAACCATGTGTCTGAGAGCATCGTCCAAACACTTCTGGAACTCCCATAGGCTCAGTGCTGTGACCACTGCCCTGGGCAGCCTGTCCCAGTGCCTGACCACCCTCTGGGTGAAGACCCTTTCCCTAATGCCCAGCCTGACCCTCCCCTGTCCCAGCTCCATGCCGTCCCTCAGGTCCTGTCGCTGTCCCCAGAGAGCAGAGCTCAGCGCCTGCCCCTACACACCCCTCGTGAGGGAGCTGCAGGCCGCCATGAGGCCTCCACTCAGCCTGCTCTGCTCTGGGCTGAACAAACCAGGGGGTCTCAGTTGCACCTCATACATCTTGCCCTCTAGACCCATAGCCATCTTTTGCCCTCCTTTGGAGGCTCTCTGATAGTTTTATGCCCGTCTCATACTGTGACACGCAAAACTGCAGACAGATCAAGGTGGGGCTGCACGAGCTCAGAGCAGAGCAGGATAATCCCTTCCCTTGACCAGCTAGCAATGCCACCATGCCTGATGCACTTCAGCTTACAGTTGGCCCTTTTGGCTGCCAGGACACACTGTTGACTCAGATTCAACCTGCCATTGACCAAAACGCCCAGATTCTTATCTGCAGAGCTGCTCTCTGACCTCTCATCCTCCTGTCTATAGATACAACCAGGGCTGCCCCTTCCCAGATGCAGAATCTGCCACTTGCTCTTGTTAAACTTCAGATTGGTGGTGACTGCCCAACCATCTAATTTGTCAAGATTACTCTGCAAGGGGTCTACCCTTGACAAGAGTCAACCACTCCTCCCAATTTAGTGTCATCTACAAACTTCCTTACATAGTGTACCTTCAAGTTCTGCAGCCGAGTCACTTATGAAAATATTGAAAACTGTCCCTAAAATGGAGCCCTGCAGATCACTGTCCACCAGCCTGATGTAACTCCATTTACTATAAACCTTTGAGTCCCACCCAACAGCCAGTTGTTCACCCCATCGTACTATGGATTTGTGTAGCTGTATGCTGGATGTTTGGTCTGGTAGGATACTGTGAAAAACAGTATGAAAGCTTTGCTGAAATCCAGAAAGATTACATCAACTGGCTTCCCTTGGTCAACTAGTTGAGTAACCTTGTCATAAAGGAAATAAAGTTCATTAAATAGGACTTTCCACTTGTGAACCCATGCTGGCTGTGACCAGTGACCGCATTGTCTTTCAGGGGTTTTTCAATAACTCCCAGAAATATTTTCTCCAAAATTTTACCAGGAACTGAAGAGACTGACAGGCCTGTAGTGATATATCTACTATGGTAAGGGTGGAGGTTTGCTTGCCAATGGGGATGACTTGGGTTTGTAGCCCAATAAATCTGTGGATGAGACAGATGAATTTAAAATAAGATTAAAATGGTCTTGCTCTTGTGAGCAAGGGTAACACCTGCTGTGCTCCAGTGCCTGTGGGGCAAGCTGCAGCACTGACCTCCTTGCCTGGGGGCTGCCTAGGAGGCCACAGGATGCAGAAGACTCTTGGGCAAGCATTATGTAAGAAAGTGGTAGTCTCACAATCCCAGCCCTGCTTTCCTTAGCTTGGAGATTTGGATCCTGAGGGATCTTCCTCACAGAATATTTGCAGAAGGTAGGAAGAAAAGTAGAATTTCTTGTTTTTCTTCCATCCTTATTCCTGGCCAGAACTGATGGATTTCAGCTTATCATTTATGACAGTTGCTGCCATAATATTTGTGTTATAACTACATTTTCCTAGTGGTTGAACCTTAGCTGACCCACAAGGTATGCCTTTACAAATAAAAGCTAGAAACATAGATTAAAAGGCAGCATCTCTAGCTTAAAAAAAAATATTTAGTCAATACTAGAGCTCAAGAATTTAAAAACAAGTATATCTTTTTGCAGCTTTCTTGGATAAGTTTCATATCCATATTCATGCCCTGTCCTGTAAAACAAATATAGCTGTAGTACTCAGTACTGCTGAGAGTCTCCCGTGAAACTATCACAGAACCATACTGGTTCAGTCTGATTTACAGTCTGTTTGAAAGTGTTAAAGGGGAAATGTGCCTACTTTCAGCTGTTTTGCATCAGTATGGCTTCATTTTTATTTTTTTTATTTTTATATCAACTGGCACATGGAGTCACGTTTTCGTAAACCATCTTAGATTGGAATGATGTTATGAGTAAGACGTCAAGCCTCTGAAAAGTCATGAAATGGAAACCAATTAACATGGTGATTTTTCTAAGTGTGGTCATTCTTCTTCACTGGTTTTCCCCTTCCTGTCACTCCTTCCTTAAACTAAAACAGGAATCAGCCTCTTAGCAAGTTTGTGCAGTAGTTTTGCTGCATCATGTTTACCAGTTTTTGTGTGGAATGTTTTGGCTACAGACTATTTTTTTTATTTTTATTTTTTTGCAAACCGCATTTGTCAGATAAAGCAGACACGAAAACATACAGCTGCCACTTCACTATTCAGCAAAATTACATGAATGCAGTTTTTCATACAGAAAGAGAGCATATCCATCTCCTGCAGATCTAGTTCCTCATCTTGGAAAGAACCGAGAGACCACAACAGTTAAAATGGTTTTGCAACCTCTCTATCAAGTCTGTCATCTTGTGCAGTCGATCCCGTTGGTCCCTAACTCAGGAAGTGATTTCTAAGAAGGCAGGGTGTTGACAGGCCAGGAAACAGAGTGAAAGTTAATAAGGCCTGTGTACGCTGAGGAACCTGGCAAGAAAGTGGGGAAACTGGAAGTCTTGCTGCAGGATCAGAAACCAGTTATAACAGAGATAGGAGAAGCATAATGGGACAACCATCACAAGAGGGAAGTCATAACAAAGGTAAAAAGTAGTGTGAGTATTGAATGGGATTGTGTGCTAGAGAGAAATAATAATAATAATAATAATAATAATGAATCCGAGTTAAAAGGATTTTGGTTGAAGATGGTACAGCGCTGGCAGTGGAGGCAATTTGTTACAGACTCTACATTCAGATTGGGCCGTGGAGAGAGAATTCTGCAATTCTGTTAGTGTTACAGATATTTCAGGGAATTGTCTCACTTGGAGACAAAAGCTATATCATGATAATGAAAAGGCCAGTGTATTTTTTTGATGTGAGAGCTGGCAGATTTTTCAAACAGTCACTCACTCCCCAACAGGTGGTGCTGGGTGCAAAAGTGCTAGAAAATTGTATGATCAAGTGGTTGGGAGCTGATCATTATTTCAATGAGAAACAAGGGTGAGCAGTAGACAAGTAACCACCCTCAGCAGTTTCAAAAGGATGAGCACTGACTGATGAGACAGAGCAGCTGTGGAGACCCAGCTCATGGCCTGGGAGAGGGAGAGGCTGCAGTGCTCCTTCTCTCCCCAGGCACAAGCAGATGCACGAGAGGTGGCAAGTACTGCCTATCTGGGGCTCAGCAGATCTCCTCTGCCACAGGACTCTTGCATGGACAGGGCAGTGGTGCAAGCAATCAGCTGCATTAGTTGCACACAATTAAGTCAGAGATCAGGCTGTGTAAAGCAAGTTAAGCACCTGCAATTGCAGGGAACACAAAGCAGGTCCCCTGTGGGTCTTTTGCTCCTGCTAGACTGCAGTCTCAGCCAACAAGATGTGGGATGCACTAAGCTGCCACAGAGACTGAGACTGAACACCACCTGTGACCTTGCTCCCAAGCAAACTCGCTAGGCAGCACGCAGGCCTGGCTGCCCAGTGCACATGTGATGACTTCATGAGGATGGATCGTGGCATCACACCCCCTTTCCATCTAAATTAGGAGCTTGCCTGCTTGCTTACTCCTATTCCCCCTCAAGACATTGTGACCTTTTCTTTCATAGCACTCACACCTTCTCCAACTCAGGGAAATCAGAGCTGCTTCTGCAGCTGTTAGTGAGAGGCTGGGGAGCTTTGCAGCAAGGGGTGGCAGGCTGCTACCCGAAGAGGAGGAGATTCCAGAAAATGTCCCTTTGTGTTATGCCCTTAGAGGCACACACATGCAGGCATGTGTATATACCTATGCTTACATACACATGTATATGAACCGCTAAGCTGCAGCTTATTTTTTTATCAATCATCCGTCACTTTCACAAATGAAAATATGGTATTCTCTGCCACTACTCTCTTGCTTAAAAAAGAAAAAAAAAAAAAAAAGGAAAAAGAAAAAAAAAAAAGAAAAACAAATTAAAAACAGAAGTCCAGTGTTTTCATGTTCATAAAAGGAAGTATGTGCTAACACCTCACCAAGCATAAATACAATGGTTTCATTTTTCATTCTTTCTTGATCTTTGTGTTAAACTGGAGTTTCCTTCCCCTCCCAGCACTGGTGTCTCACGGCATACAGCAAGTGCTGTCGAACAGCGTAAATTTCCATAAGGCAGCCTGAGCATTTGAAGCAAGTAAGCGAAACAGAACAGATCAGACTAGCTGAGGCCAGAGCAGAAGCAGGCACATTCACTTCCATTTTTTAATAACCATGACTGTGCAGTATCATAACTAGTATCAGAAACCCTTATATAGCTTGTGGATTTTGTTCATAAAAACACCAGTCTTGCATCTTTAATACTCTCTCCTTTGCAGAAGTACTAGTGCCATCAGCTTTTACTTTCAGACCAGAATACTAAATTTCATTATTCTCTGTTTAGGCAACTGCGATGACGTGACACTTACTCTCTTCCCTTGGCCTCCTCTCAATCACTCAAGCTGCAAATGCTGTGAAAGTCACACCTTTGCACCAACTTTGTGCCCCTCCTTTGGCTTCCCTTTCTCCAGAGCACCCATCGCATGAGACCTATCTTCCTTCTGTGGTGTGACTTGGCTTTGGCCTACCTAACCCTTCTTAAAAGTCTGGTGGCCTAAGGCTGTTCCTCAATGAGGCTGTCCCAAGTAGGTTTTCCTGAAAACACCTCTGAGCTTGCTTTTCCACTACCTGTAATGTGTATCTCAAAGCTGATGAAGTAAATTCTTCATCCAAACCGTGCTTACAGCTTCTCTCCGCTACTGTGTCTACGACACAATCAACTGTTAGAGGGGAGCGCTTGCAGCTTGTTTTATTCAAGCTGACATTACCTCCATCCCTGTGCTTCCCTGGAATGGCCAGTCACCTCTTCTCTCTTCCTAGTGATCACCTCTGAGATTAACTTAGCTGTGAATGTGCATGGATATACATAGCCCAAGGGATAATACATAGCATCAAAGGGTTTAAAGCCCAAAGGCAGAAAAGCTGATGGGAACACAGAACTGGGCAACCACTACGAAACTATTGCTAGTGCCCTATCTGCAGTAGTCCAGTTACCAGGCTGTGGTAAGGTAAGCTGTATCCTTTCCAAGTATGTTGTTGAAAAGATACATATTCTTTCCAAGAGGCACGAAGGAAGGTGTGACAAGGCAGAATATATATCCAAAAGCCTGTACATTTTGCTTGGACAGCATGAAAATGATGCTAACATCAAGGTAAGACAGTTGGTTTTGTGTTGAGAGAACACTTAGGGAAATAACCAAGTAAGAATCCAAAGCTGTTTTTGTTGTGAGGTAAATGCTGGGAGTCGCTGTGCTGAATCCTTCCCTGACCCAGCTTCTCTGTGCTTCCCTTGAGAGCACTGCAGTAATTGCAGTGGCCCAGACAGGTCACTATTTTCTTGCTCAGATTATCCAGTTCACATCTAACATTTTTGTGGTGGTACAGAGCAGCGTTTATGCAGGTCTCCCTTATCTCTGCTTCTAAAGGGTTAGGTAGAAAAAAGTACAGACCATGTCAGGACTTGAAATGTATAAACTCTGCTAGGACAAACCTTCTTTGAGGTCTGTCAGCCCTATTGGGCTGGTCTTCCCTCCAAAAAATGACATGACATTTGTTAAAGGTTACATTAGATCTGATCCTTTTTTTTTTTTTTTCTTCTTTTTTTTTTTTTTCTTCTCAAATCCGGATTAGTGTAAGAGTATGTAGATTTAAGCAGGGAAAAAACATTAATTGCATTTTGACAAATGTGATACTGTACTTGGTGAGCAGCGTGAAGAACAGAGATCTCTATTAGTCAATCAATTTCTAATGGAGATTTAAAAAGAGGAACATCTTCACCCCTGTAATATGTCATTTGACAAAAATGGGCTACCCAGAAAACTAAAAACACAACTAATTACTCTTATTCTTCTACCTTCTGACCGCTGAGAGCAACACCAGTTTCACCACTATTCAAATACTAAGGATTGGGAAGGCTTGAAGGTAAATTCAAGTAAAGATTTTTACTTTTTCCAATGCATTAATAAAAATACCCAAACCTGTGTTTAACTCCAACAGAAAACAAGAGTGAGGTAAGGAAAACGTCAGAGAATCATCTTGTTTTCTGCTGTAGCATCTGTTCCTGAGGCTGGTTTTCTGCCTACAGTTGAACATACACCCTGAAAACCTCTGGCAGCATGAGCATGTTGCCACGATTTGCATATGTATGTTTGTGTGACCCTACAGTAAGAATATGACAATTCTCATCAATTCTCCTGTGCCTTGATTTCTCTTTCTTATTCTTAACCAATTCTTTTCCTTTCACTCTCCATGAACTCCAGCAAACCCAGTTCCCTCTCTAGCAGTTCAGGAGGTTCGAGGTGCTGGTGGTTTTCCCACTGGCATGTCTTTCCTTCCGCACAACAAATTGTCTTGTGCTTGTCTAAAAATAAATATCCACATGTCAGTGAGGAAAAAACAAGCAACATGGAAAAGAACTAGCAAGTAAAACCTAGCCTCCAAACATGTTGCCTCCTGGCTGCAGACATGTTGGCCAGAGAGGCCGTAGCCCCAGCCACCTGTGGCGCTCTGCTTACCCCGTACCTATGGCAGTGTTGGGGCACTCATTATTCAGTCTCATTCAGAAAGAGGTACAAGAGCAGCTCTTTCCCATGCCAGCTCTGTTGTGAGGCGAGAGCTCCCTCATATATAACCCTTGCACTTAGCAAACCATTAGCAGGACCAAGCTCCCTGAGGAAAGGTGCAAGTGGACCATGCAGGGTAGTTCAACCTGGGCTTGTCCCCAGGGCCAACTATGGCTGAAGTGTGTACGTTTTGGAAGGAGGGTCTTGAGAAACGGACATACCTGCAAAAACCTGGGGAAGAAACGGCTTTTATCAATGCCAATGAGGATGTGCAGGATCTCCAGGACAGATAACAACTGACAAAGGCGCATCACAAGTCCTATGGAGTAAAACGTGTCGGCCAACGAATCTACAGAAAAAGTGAAGAGGAAAATTGGAGGGCAGTTATACAGTAAAAGTCCAGACCAGCTGCTCAGTTTGCTCTTGCTCTGTTGCCCCTGAAGACAATAAAAAATAGAGTTCACAGAGTACCAAACTTTAGCAGAAAGGTAGCAGAAGCAAAGATTTAGGGAGGAGAAAAGGCATCCCACTCTGTGTATGTTTGCAGCTTTCACACAGAGGCAGGAAGTTGAGAAAAGCATGGGGGTGCCTGTATTTGATGCATTGGCAACCATTGTGCAGGATGTGTTGGTTTAGGGATATCCCTTTAGGATATTTCTAAATATGAGGAAATGAATGAGGAAGGTATAAAACATGATGAGATGTGGCAGTTCTTGCCTGTATCTATACCCATGACACTTCCTAAGACAAGGAGATGACAAGATAGCTATGTCATGTGCCTTCAACTTCCCACCATCTGTAAATTATTTTGAATTTCCAGTCGTTAGTTTTCTACTTTTGTGCCTTAACTCCAAGCAACAGAAATAGAAATATGTTGTCCTGTTTGGGGAGATAAAAAATTGTATCCAGTAACCACAAAGATATTCTCTCCTAGTGGCTTCAGTAAGACTGAAAATTTTCAGTAAGACTGAAAATTCACCATAATGACTCGACCTACTCACATTTAGGTCTGTGTCTAGATCTAAAGTTGCTGGCACATTATTGAATATTAGAGCTCATTAGTAAAACAAGAGCTTCATTTCTGATGCAGTACAGGCAGAATGCAGGTACCAGCAAATTGTTCATTCTTTTCAATAAAAGAAACAGTGTTTTTCTCATTGAAATTAAAGCCACTGGTATTGGACACACAGAGCTATGCATGCCCTATTCCTAATCCTAACTTTGTCTATGATTTAATGTTTCTGTGTATTACTGCCTCTTAAAATGTTTAAGAAAAATATAGAAGGAATCCTACCTTTTCCAAATGACATGAACCTGATGATCATATTTGTAAATATCCAGGAATGTCCACAGAACTGCATTAAGTCATACACAAAGAGGTAGGTGTTCATGGTAATGCTGTGGAGGTGAATATGATAAAGCAAGCTGTATTATTTAATACAACATTCAGACATTGTGATCTCTAGATATTGCACCCTCGTTGGACTTGTTAGTTTATCAGAAAACAAAACAAAACAAACAAAACAACTAGATTGTAAACAGATCGATGGGAGCTGGCTGTGTCTGTCAATAGTCACAGAACAGTATTCTCCCTCACAGATCAAAAGCTCTCTTCATTAGTATACCTAAGGCATGCCCAGAAAAATTTACTGAGCTTCCACCAGTGACTGGGAAGATCTGTGGCCATACGGTGAAATTTGTGTCTCCAAAGGAGAGAGTAACCAAGCAAAGACACAACACTGAGTGATGGGTTCGAGCCTAGTCCCACTCGGGTCTTAGCTCTGCCTTGATGGACCGGAGGGATGGGCAGGATCACAGCCACAATGGCTCTGCCATGGGACCTGGACTCTTGCAGGCACCAGCATTTGGATTTCTGCATCTGGGTGATGTTAATCCTGTTTTTTTCCCCAAAAACTTGCCCCTAGCTTCTGCTTCAGGCAACTTAGAGTACAACACAAATAATTTGCAAGGTCCTCAGCACACAGTACAGGTGCAAGTGTTCATAAAAATGCAGGTGAGGAAAAGGAACAGAAAGCCATGTTTTGATCTGTTTTTATTCAATGCAGCCTGAAGGATATCTGATCTTCCGTTTTAACCAAATTGCTCTACGGGTTTTCCCAATGCACATTAAAATGAGATATTTGTCTTTCTGCACAATTCATGTTTCAAATTGTATTTAATAAAGTGCATTTCCTTCTGTTGAAGCAGACTAATTTTTATGGCTATTCTGATTTAATTTTAATAGATAATCTGACTCTCTGCAGAACTCTGTAGGTTCTGCAGAAACTTCAAAATTTCACTTTCCCAAGCATATATTTTCCTTTCACTTATTCTGGAGAGAGAGGTTTGCGTGTCCGCCAGTTATAAAAAGGACTGTCTACCATTTTTAAAAATGGTAGTCAAAAATTTGTTAATTTTGTACTAGAATTAATCTCCTGTGTTTCACCAATTATTTCCTGTCCCGATAAGTAGTAAGATCTCTTTAAGTTGTCTCTTCATACAGCATGTATGTGTCAGCATGATACGTCTCTGCCACCACCCATTTTTCATTTGTATCTGCACATTATCAAACACATTGAATTTCTGTGTTTAGAAATATGTGAATAAGATAAAGGTACATACTTCATTCCGAGCATTGTACTAAGACCATATAAAACACAATCATGTGCTTTTGCAAATTGACCTAGATAAACTGATCTAAATTTTTAATTTAAATATATGCTAAGGATGTCATAGAAAATGCCTTTCTTCCTCTCTTTCTGTTATGCAGGATGACTGCTATTCATATAATTACTTCTGTAAGCACAGAAAGGTTTGTTGGCTAATTTACCTCCTAAGAGACGTCAATATTCATTGACACTATGACAGGAAGACATATGAAGACCCTAAAAGGGACAATCCATAAAAATTCCTTTTGGAAAAAGTATGATACAGCTGAATTGGACTAAAATACAGTGTGATCTATAAATATTGACCCAAAACTCCATCTACTCTATTGCTGAATGTTTCCTCTCTTGTGGTAAAGTAACAATAAAAACAAACAACAACAACGAAACACCAGATGAGACACTACACATTGCAAAAAGGAAAAAAAAAATGTTGTGATATATATTGCCTTATTATTGGAGCTTGTAATGGGTACGAAAGTTATAGGAATAGCTGTAAAAATCTTCTTCAGTCTTTCCAGTCAGCTTCTCCACCAGTCCCTTTGGTCAGATGCTGTCATGTTGGCTTTGCACTGTATGCAAGCTGAGTACATAGTTTCTCTCTTCTTCTGGAGTCTAGTTTGTTATATCTGTCTTTCTTCCTCAAAACTTGTCTTGCAGCAGTTCAGGCTTATTTTCTGAACCCTTCCTCCATTGGCTGGATAGAAAATTCTCATCGTTGCAATTCTTAAGCTGCTTAATCTTAGCTAAGCAGAGCGTAATGAAGAGAATGCTTGTAATTGTAGTTCATGCTAGTGTTTAGCCTGTTTTATGTTAAAACTCATGATCTTTTAAACATACTGGTGACTTCTGAAATAGGCACATGATGTTGTACCCCAAACTCTCCATGAAGTATAGAGATGTGCTGACAGGCAGTGTAGAATCATAGGATGGTTTGGGTTGGAAGGGACCTTAAAGTTCATCTAGTGCAAAGTCCCCCTTCCATGAGGTGAAACATCTCCTACTAGACCAGCCTGCAGAAAACCCCAGCCAACCTGGCCTTCAACACTTCCAGGAAAGGGGCATCTACAACTTCTCTGGGCAAAATTTCAATACCTTTGTCATTATATTAAAATGCTTTCAAATTTCATGTTTGACAGAATAAAGTACTATATCATGTTTCTGAAAGGGCCAGGGTTACAGCTGCATGCATACAAATGCTTATTGACTACAGACATTGTTTCCTCATACAGAAAAAGCAATCCATCACTGAATTTGTTCTCTAAATCAGATTGGAGGTCTCTCAGGTTCGGAGATGGAACAAAAAGGTTGAGGTGACCTAAAAATTAATAACTTTTTCTTTATTGTTGTTGTGCCAGCATTACTCAGAGGACCAACCTTTCATACAGTGATGCTCACCACCGTGTGAAAGAGTGGCCGGATATCCAAATGGAGTTTCACCCTACTGTGTTAATCCCCACACAAAATGTACCCAAAACCAAAGAGAGGCCTTTGACAGAAGTGAAGACATATGCAGAGAATAAGAGGTGATTTCAGTGTAATCACAGGAAATGGAAGTGTAATTGTCCCCTATGTTCTTTCTCTTCCCCAGTGAGTTATGGCTGGTCCATTTTCCTAGGTAGCCAGGAACAAATTGAGGTTAACCTGTTCCCCAGTCCTAACAGTTTTGCGTCACAACAGAAAGTTCATCCATCTGCTTCTATTTGAAAGGTCACTGCCACTGCCACAAGAGATGGGATTTAATTACATTTCCTGCTCCCTCGGCTCACAGCAGGCATGGGTGCATGTTTACCTCTCAGAGTCTGCCTCTGCAACACCCTTGAAGGCAAAACACAGACTAGCAAACCCAGCAGCTGCCTGCAGGCAGCAGTTCAGTTCACAGCCCTGCCCCAGGCTGGCTGGCTGGCCTTGCAAACCTCACTCAGCCTTCCCAGCACCTGGTTTGCAAAACGGGATTGCTGATGACTGTATTCTTTGTAGTGTGATCTGCTTCAATGCTTCCAAATTGATTTTAATGCTGTTCAGACTGAAGGCATCACGAGAGCACTGCACACTTTGGTACTCTCCTTGCATTGCTGACAGATGAAAGAAGCAGGTATGGGACTAGCAGCAAAGGTACCCAGAAGGCTGGACATGATCTCTGTCATTTTGGTTCTCAGCTCCACACAGCTTGCTATGACTGATTTTATACCAAACACACCAAAATGCCAGTGGTCAACCTTGCCTAGCAGAAATGCTTCACTTTACCCACCTCCTCCCCAAGCTGAAAAACCTAGGTGCCTATGTGGATCACCAGGCCACTCGGGTCTTGTACACAGCAGAGGATGTTCCCAAATGTCCCCTTCTCCCCTTACTCAGCAGCAGCCCCATGTCCCCACGGGCTGTGGCCCCATCACAGAGTGTCCCCGGGTGGTGTTGGGGTGCAGGCTGCCTCAGGGGTCCCTCCCATCCCACACAGGCCTCTGTGGGCTGGGCGCTCCCTGGCTGCCTCAGTGACCGCGCTCTCTGTTGCCCGTCAGCCTGTGCTGGCTGGCCGCACATGAGGAAGCAGCCCTCGCGCTGAAACCAGAGAGCGACTTTCCTTTTTTCCCCTTTTTTTTTTTTTTTTTTTTTTTCTGAAGGGCAGGTCTGACAGAAAAGCCCCTCCGCTGACACGGTTTCCTTTTAACTCACGCTGGTCTGAACTTCTGCTCCTTCCCCGTCCCGCCCTGCCACAGGCTACAAGCTCAGCAGGAGAAGAGCTGCAGAGAACCCGCACCAGAGATGTGCTTTTCTCTCACAGGCGCATCCCACCCCGCTTTATTTCCCCTTGCTTTTCGCATTGAGGTGCCTCAGTCACCTCCGCTCTGGGGACATTACCTGTTGCAGGGGTTAGATCGCCGCGGCTGCTCCCGATCTTTCTCCTTTTTTCTCTTCACAGCTGCAGCAGCTGTTTGCTGGGAGATCAGCCCTCCTCTTCCCTCTTCCCCCACCCACGACGTCACTGTGTGTAGCACCAAGCAGGAACAGTGCTGCAATGCCCGAGAAAGGAGTTTCTAACCCCAAATGTCTCCATGCTCCTCATCACCCAGCCTAGCCTAGCCTGGTCGAACCTAGCCTAGCCTGACCTGACTTAATCTAGTCTGACCTAATCAAAACTGGTTTCTCTCTTTTGTAAAAATAAGCTACTCTGTAAATCCCACTAACTTTGTTGCTTGAGCCAGTACGATATTTTGAGAGATAACTGGAGAGAAGAAAAGCAAAACTACATTTTTTTTCCCCGTTCTGGTCAAATTATCAGTGTTAAAACAGTGCTGATAACACAGTATTAAATACTAAGGAAGGCTGGGAGCATAGCATTAAAGGAGCACTTTAAATTACTTGAGATAGAGGAAATAGTTTTCCGCTTCTTAACAAGAAATACCTATTTATTCATGCCCCTGTGAAATGTAGGCAGTACTGACAGAGTACATTCTCACAGCATTGTGCCCTTGAGTCTTTTGGATATTGCAATATAAATCAGATGAAGAAGAAAGTCATTGGCAGCAATAATACTTACATAAACTGCTTTCTGCCAACAAATGTTTTCCCACTGGCGCACATGTTGAAAGCACGTCCCATCTTACAGGAGGTTTAAAATTAATGCTATGGCTGAAATAGTCACCCAGAACATAATGACCGACTGGCAGGATGTCATGCAAAATACAAAACATGAGAGGGATAAAACATGCTGTCCTGAGTCTCAGCCCTGTTGCTGTGTGGAGCTCCCAGCAAAACCACCTTTACCCTGCAGTGTCCTGGGGGGGTGAGACATACCTCCCTCCTGACCAAGTGGGTGATTTTGATGATAGAAGCTTGAGAAGTGGGTCCACGTGAACCTGATGAGGTTCAACAAGTTCAAGTGCAAGGCACTGCACCTGGGGCAGGGCAATCCCAGACTTGAGCACAGACTGGGAGAAGAACTCACTGAGAGCAGCCCTGCAGAGAAGAAGCTGAGGGTTCTGGTGGACAAAAAGCTCGACATAAGCCAGCAGTGCGTGCTTGCAGCCCAGAAGTCCTGGGCTGCATCAGCAGAGGGGTGGGCAGCAGGTGGAGGGAGGTGATTGTCCCCCTCTGCTCTGCCCTTGTGAGGCTCCACCTGGAGTGCTGCATCCTGGTCTGGGGCCCCCAGCACAAGAAGGATGTGGGGCTGTTAGAGTGGGTCCAGAGGAGGGGCCATGAAAGTGATCAGAGGGCTGGAGCACCTCTGCTATGAAGAAAGGCTGAGAGAGCTGGGGATGTTCAGCCAGGAGAAAAGAAGGTTCCAGGGACACCTCATTGCAAATTGTCAATACTTAAGGAGAGCTTATAAAAAAAATAAAGAGCAACTTTTTGCTCAGGCAGATAATGACTGGACAAGGGTAAATGGTTTTAAACTAGAAGAGGAGAGATTTAAGTTAGATGTTAGGAGGAAATTCTTCACTCAGAGGGTGCTGAGGCACTGGAACAGGTTGCCCAGAGAAGCTGTGGGTGCCACATCCTTGGAGGTGTTCAAGACCAGGTTGGATGAGGCCCTGGGCATGTGGCATCCCTGCCCATGGCAGGGGAGTTGGAACTAGACAATCCTTAAAGTCCCTCCCAAACCAGGACATCCTATAATTCTATGGTTTCCCGTGGTGAGACGCCTTGTTTTTCCTGGCTGCATCTCGCATCTCCATGACTGGGCTATCCAGGCACACAGGGCTTTCCTGCTGGTGCGGCACCCACTTCTACAGCTTGAGAGCCATGATCTTTTTCTTGGCTAAGGAACATATTCCTTTCTTAGGAGGAAATAATAAATCAGCACTAAATAAATGGTTAAGCAAACAAACAAATGGTTATTGAAGGGCTCAGCCTATGGCTCTTGCAAAACATCTCTCAACTGCGTGCCTCTGGGAGGATAACTGGTGTGACTAATCCTGCCAGGAGATGAGCTCATGGCTGTAATAAGACCCAGCAGAACAGCTCTTTTCAAATATCAGGCGAACATGTAAAAGCAACAAAGGCTCTCCCAGCCTCATGATGTGCAAAATCCCTTGTGGACAGCAGCCAAGTTAGCACTCCCACATAAAACATGGGCACCCCTGAGGGCTCGGGGCATGGGACATCCATGCTGGTGCCAGCTGCCCCCAGAGCAGAGGCTGGCAGGGGGTGGGGGGTGGCCAGGGCAGCCTTGGCATCTGCAGCCCCCTGCACAGTGGGGCAGGAACTGGGTGCTTGGTCCTTGCTGGATCAAATCTCCTGGTGTGTTTGCATGTGAAAGGAATGATGTTGTCCTCTGGTGCACTCCAAGCCTGCCCCACAATGAGGAGCAAGGCACTGCAAGTGGAAATGACTAGAAAATTTGCTTCAAATGTGTACTTCTGACATGAGCTAAAATGCTATTACAAACACACGTTTGAGTGGCAATGCATTGCAGTGACAGTGCCAAGGCATGGGGTTCATAAATCCTATCATAAAAACTACTACAGAGAAAGTCAAATTCTTCTTTGGGAGATACAGAATACACACCAACCAGTGGGTTGTAGTAGATCTGGCCAATCGGACCTGATGCTAGCCCTTAGGATCTGTTAATCACGAGAAAAAAATAATCTTCGAAATACAGTCTTCTTCTGTGCACAGCTACAGGAAGTGTAGGTAAGGTCTCTTTAGTTGTGCAATTTGTAGTGGTGTTTATGTAGTGTGATGGCCTGAGGGTATGAAGAAGGAAGATCAGTAAAGAGGTAACACCTTTTTTTAGACAGTACTGGGAACACTTCCAGGCACGCAGGTTTTGGAGAAAGTCTTTTATCCTTAACACATTCAATGATTTTGTAAGCTGTAAGGACATTGCTGTTAAAGCAAATAGTAAATAATGCTACTGGAACACATGAGCTGGATGTGGGAAGACCAGGTAAATCCCAGAGCAAAAGTAGTTTTTATTTTTGGAAAATATTCTTTCTTCTCCGCTGTAGCTACTTCTCTTGCAGACAATTTTCTTTCTAGGACCTACTGAGCTGGCATGAAAAATCTCTTGTATAAAACCACCAGCGTCTCTTAAAACAAGCTCCGTGACTGCTCAGCATGTGCTACATCCAAGTCTCCTGGATTTCTCAAAATCTAAACAGATTGTAATCGCGTTTGGTTTCTCTGCATCACGAGGTGGGAAAAACACGTTCTCTCTGGGCACGGTGTTTGTGTGTGCAGGCAAGTGCTTTATTCACAAAGCTAATAGCAGACCTGAAATATTTCATGTGATACGGAAACAGTCGCACTCTCTTTGAATGGGAAACATCAGCAGAATAAAACATCTGCTCCTTTTATGCATAGCTTTTGTTTCCAAATCCTTAATATAAAAGCAGTATGTAGATGTGCTTTACAGAGAGAAACTGTATACCCTAGAATTAATTTTCTTTGTTTGTAGCCATTAAATTCCCAGCTCCTTTCCTTTCTAATTATCTCTTTTGGCCACCTCAATTCAAGCCCATGTTTTGGCCTGGGGATCGCCCTAGTTTAAGCACTGGCAAATGACATCTCATAAACACACACTGAGCTGGAGGCACACACTCTGCAGTGCTGCTGACCTCAGTTAAAGCAGGCAACCGCTGTGCTGCCAGGGCCGCAGGGGTGGTGCAGTGCGGTGCGGTACTGGACAGCCCAGTGTCCTGCCAGCAGGCAGAGTGCCTGCATCATACTGGTTTGTTTCTATGCCATGTGGTCACGACAGAGAGTGAGAAAAGCAAGGCTGTGCGGAGGCAGCAGAGGAAGCAAGTCATCTCCACACCGCCTGCAAGTAGTGGGGAAAAGACCCAACGTTGTCGACTATACTCTTGAGCTGGGCAGAAGAGGAAGCAGCAGCCTTGCCAGCTTCGTCCTTCTCACACCCTTCTGATTCTGTAAATTCAGGAGAGACCCTGGCTTGCCAACAGATCCCGCCTTGCAGGCGCTGACTCACTGGCCTCATCTAACAAAACAAAATGAGTCACAGCAGCCAAAGTTCCCGATTGCTTTAGGGTGAGAAGAAGTGGGCTGTGTGAGCCAGTGCTGTGCCACAAGGGTCCACCAAGCAGATACAGAGGTGGTAGGAGGTTTGGCCTTTACAGTTTCATCAGGTGAAAAACGGCTGACATTTGGAAATGTATGTGGAGGAAAAATCCCAGCCCATCTGTTTGGCTTTGACCATATAGGAGTGACCTTTTGTATTCACCATCCGTCAGGATGGTTCTGCTCTACTGTAGGCACAGGTATTTCAGAAAAAGCAGGCTGGTGGCTTTTCTTCCCCACTGCCCTGCAGCTGGAGCAGAGCAAGAGGAGGGAAGAGGGAGACCAGACAGGGCCTCCCAGCAGCTTGTGTCCAGACCTCCCAAAGTGTCACTTGGAGGAGATGTGCCAGCCTCACCCTCCTTACCTGTCTTTTGTGGGAGCAGGTGGTCTGGAGCACCAGACTGACCTTGATGCTCAGAACCTGCCCAACAGCTCTGTGGGAATACGTTGATTTGAGGGATTCCTTATTTTCAAGCATTGACCCCCCAGGTGGAGGCGATCAGCAGAAAACTTTTACCTACTCTTTCAGCATAGGAGAAAAATGCAAAACATTGTGTTTCTGTAATACAGTGCAATTCTGTGTTTCATGAAATTATTTCTACATGGAAACAACTTATTTTTATAATGCAAAGGATGACTTCTTTTCAGGCTGATTGTTGAAACCTGTTCTTTCCGTTCTTAAAAAATCTGCATATTCAGGGATAACATCATCTATTTATAGGGGATTTTTTTTTCTGATTTCATTTTCTTACATGTGAGTGTTGTAAGTATCACCTCTTGTTTTACATTTTTTTTTAAAATATCCTTTAGCAGGTTTTCCTGTCCTTCCTTCTCATTCCCAACCTGTTGCTTCTCAGCAGAGGGGAAAATTCACTGGTTTTGCAAAGGGAGGCAGTGAAAAGACTAACTGAATATCAAGGACATATCCAGTTTTGAAATGTCATGTTTCTAGAGTCTCTGTGCATCCCAGCTCTGACTGCACTGACTGCCAGATGATACTAACAGGCACATCAAATATGCCACTATGATAATCAGGAGAAATTAGTGCTTGATGGACATGGGGAATTCCCTTTTCTTAGTGTTAGCTACTACTAAGTCACTCATAATGGAAACTGTGATAATAGTTTCCCATCATTTTCAAGGAGTTGAACAGTGACTGTTACCCTGCTATGGGGAACTGGGAAGGAAAGAGAGGGGTGCTCTATTTTTCTTAAAAAAAAAAAAAAACAAAAAAGGGGGGGGGTTCAGAATCTTGAAACAGTGTTAGTGATCTGTCACCACATTCAGCACAAGCCCTTTTTGAATATCCATGAACAGCTGTGGCAGGCCTTGATGCTTGTCCATAGGACTACAATGTGAATTCTGCTACAAGCAGCAGAAATTTGTTTTTAACTGTTAAAAATCAGCCGATTACAATAACAGCCAATGTGAGCTTTACTCAAAAAGTAGAGACCAGAATAGAGTACACCCCTAAGGCAAAGACTTGAAGAGGAAGTGTATTAATTTCTCAAAGAGAGAGCAATGTTTTTACAAATATTTGAAGTAAAACAGGCATTTTTGTCGTTGTTGCAGAAGAAAACCTTTCTGTTTTATATAAATATGTCTGTCAAGATATTTCCTTTCTGGGAAAATGAACTGTACACACAGTACTCCAGCTAAATCCAGAGGAAGTTGTGAAGGCTCTGGCCTACCCAGATAAGAAACCTGGGGAATACAGCAGACAGTAAGAGCTATAGTGAGTAGGCATTGTGGTAACCGGTGAGCAGGGGGCAGATACACTGCTTGGAATCTCAGTATTTCTCCTCCCTAGTGTGGGTTTTGACTTTGCAAATATATTACCGTGTTTTAACAGGTATTTTATGGAGGTGAGCATTAGCTGTGTATAATCCCACACTTTCAAAAAAAAGATTATTGTTTGCTCAGAGTTTTGAATTATTCATTGGTGAAGCTCATATGTGGTTTTAGGACCCTAACTGCACTTGGGTTCAAGAAGGTTCACCCTGAAGAAACAATCAACCTTGTAGCATTTCACATGCCAATTCACATGAGCCGGGGATTTTGGTTTTAATGTTGTAAAAATGTTGTAAAAGAGAGAAGTGGCATTCATCCAGGATGCAACTGATGAGGAGCCTAAACTATGTTTGGAAACAAAGGGAGCTCAGCAGTGTGTTGGTGCAGTAGCAGGGCACCACTGCATGACTGCAGCTGCCCTCCAGTTTGCAGAGCTGGCTCTAGCCCCAGGAAGTCTGCAGGCAGAGAAGAGAGATTGTGCTTGCTTCCCCTGTCAGAGGTTGTTCCTCTGGGAGCCCCCAGTGTCAAAAAAGCCCCTGCACCTTACCAAGATTTCTTGATGTCAACAGAAGTGTGGAAAACACTGGTATAAATGACTTATCCTTGCCTGCATTAGGAATAATAGAAATATTTTTGGATATCGAAAAGCACAGGCACCTTATTGTAAAGAATCAAATTCAGTCTTACTTTTTCACTTTTTTTTTTTTTTTTTTTTTTCCCCCCCATTTATTAACTTATTAACTTCCTAAATCAAAGTTCATCTCCTCATGAGCCATTCCTGATCCTTTCCAAGCCCACACCCCTCCACCACAGCCATTGCTGCAACTTCCCTACAGCTGCTCTGAAGGAGGAGTCCTGCTGTCCTTCCTAGCAGCAAGGGCTAATCCTGGATGACTGGGAAATTACCTCCACAGGCTTTTTTTCTGTTTTGCATTGTTGTCTTTCTGGTTTGGTTTGGCTTGTTTTTTTCTCTCTCTCTTTAAATTTAAAAAAGCAAAACCAGAGCTAGCAGAGCACACCAAACCCATGGAAAAATTGCTTTGGACAGCTGTATTTGACTGTGACTTGTGAATAATTTTTTCCAGGGTAAAGTCTGGAATAAGCACTCTTTCTGCTGTAGCCATTCTGAAGTTTCTTGTTGGATACAAAGCATTTGAACCCAGTCCTGTAAATCCAGTCCAGGAAACAGCCTCTACGTAGATGAAACCCTATCAATTTTTATGAAGTTTCCCTAAAAGTGCAGCACTGTCCCTGTATACAAGACGCTGTGGGACTAGCTATGAAAAACAGCCATGACTGGGACTAGGGCTGGGACTGAGACCTGAACCTGCGCTGCACAGCACTGGTGCACAAGTCTTATGCTTTTTGGTCTATACGCAGTCCTAGCCTGGAAAGATTTTGTTTTATCTATGTTTAATTTTCTACTTGGATTTGAGACTTTGTGTTAACTATTTTATTCATTTCCATTTGAAAATAATTTATGTTAAAAATTATATTTTGCCGCGTATGTTTTAATTTCTAGAAAAAAAAAAATACTAACTGGAAGAAATACTGGAGAGTTTCAGCTGGCCAAGGGCATCACATAAAACTAACCTGGTACCATGATGGTGACAAAATAAGCTCTCTCCAGAATGTTATAATGGCAAGGGGGAGAGAAGATCTTTACCTTTCTTTCTTTACCTTAAAGACTTTCTTTACTTTAAAGATCTTTCTTTAAAAAGTAAGAATAAACCAAAGAAATATTGTAAATGCTTGCTTGGTATTTGCTTTTTCCCTTTTACTTGTTCAGCAGCCATGTCTTTTCCAGAGTCCTTATGCTTAAGGGTCTTTTAGATACTGTCTCACTACAAGTAATTTCAGTTACCTCACAGATGAAAGGTAAATGAAATCAAATGCTGGTTTATGAGCCATCACCTCTGAGATCCAATTCCTTTCCTCAAAAATTCTTATTTTTTCTTCCAAGTCCCTTCTGTGAACCCAATAGCAATTTATTGGTAAGAAACACAGTCATAAAAAGTCATTAAAAGTTGAAATACCTTCTTGCTAAAATATTTATTTTTATTCATTTATTCATTCAAAATATTCACCTGAAATTCTTACACTTGTCTATAATCCCACTTTGCCCTCTAGTGCCCATTCTGTTGTTTCCTGCACCGTAAAGTGCCCTGTTGACTGACATGTTTCAAAACATATTTTCACTTGATAATGAGATTGTTAAGGATGGTTATGAACCATAAAGGAAATTTTGGGGGGTGAGTTTTCTGAACAATCAGTGGTCCATGATTTAACATCTTCCCACTTCCAGCAAGTGAGGCAGAAAACCCTGGGATCCTTCGTGAGAGGGCAGTTGAAAACATTTCATGCCAAATTTCAGTAAAAATGGGGCTGTTTCAATTTGGGTTTACTGTATTTCAGAAGTCACCTAGGTGATCAGAGCCAGAAAGTTAAATAGGCTGAATGTCTTTTTATAGTACGGGCTCACAGAAGTGCAAAAACAAACAAGTAAACAAACAAAACAAAACAAAAACAAACAAAAACCCCACCCCAAAACAAAACCAAAACCAACAAACAAGCAGTAGAAATCAGATTTCTAACAGTCTGACAGTCATTCCAAGTACTGTTAGCTACAAAGCACAAGAAATACACTTTAGGCTATAACATGTCTGGTGGGATCTCACCAGGGAAAAAAATGGCTCTGATGCTTTGCTTTCTCCCTTTAGTCTTTCCAGTTATTCTGGATCATGGTGAAGTTGTTATAAGGTTGTAGTTCTGGTATTTCAGCTTCAGACATGGCATCCGTTGCTCTCAGCACTTCCTTTAGCTCTCATCCATGCTGGCAGAGAGGAGGGCATGTATACCCTGCAAAAGAGACCTGTGTCACAGATACGGTACATGACATCTGGACTACCTTTGCTATTGCTCTTACCAGTCCATTTTTGTATAGATTCACCTTTGCATTAGCAATGCTTTGAATGCTACTACTTTAAATGGCTAGAGACAAGGGAAAACTTTAAAGTGGCTCCTCACTAGATGCTAGTAGCAACCCCTAGCAATTACAGCCCTTTGTGACTGACGTTTCCTTTCCTTGGGAACTATGGCCATGACAACTCTGCCCTGTTTCTTTATGCTGGACCCAGAAGCCTGTGTCCAGAGCTCATCAGCTTTGGTTACAGGAAATAGCAGCTTTTTTTTTTCTTTCTTTTTTTTTTTTTTCTTTTTTTTTTTTTCACATCTTTTTACCATAATTCAATTGGTAACACAGCCTGGATGTAACTCTTCTCCCTCTGACTAACATATAGCAAGAAACTAGGGAAAACACAATCATTTGAAATGGAGTTAACCAGGGACAATTTCCCAAGGGTAAAATCCTGATTTGGCCTTGCAGAAATCATTGGACTTTTACAAAGTATAAGCAGGTTATTTCAAGAAATTTGTTTATATTGCTATTCCAGGCTATGTGGTTTGGGGGGAAACTTTGCTGGAATACGCGTTTCTGTAGGTCAGTTTATGAGCAAAGGGCAGTAGATTTCAAGCAACAATAAAGGACAGCACTGAATGGAAGTGATTGGAATGGAATCAAATTTGAGAAAGCAGTTAAAGTGAATTGGAACACAGCAGGATGGAAAAAAAGCCTTCTCCACAGAAAGTTAGATGAAGGAAAGATACTTTAATTAAAAGTAAGAGTATGCAATTGAGAAGTTACTGCAGAAGCTATAGTTATTGCAAACAATTTATTATGTGGACAATTCCTTCTAGAAGTACTTTACCTCTCTGAACAAAGCAAACTTGTAATGGACCAAATGTATAAAAAGATATATTCTTAGAAAAGAGCATATAGCACTTGAAAGAATAATAAATGGTATCAACATAAACCAGGCCCATTTAAATAACAGTACACCACTTTATTTTTGATGTGGACTCATTCAGTACAAATCTAATAATTCCTCTAAAGTGATGATGTGTAGTCCATTCACAAATAAATGATTCTCTGTGTATTGGTGAAATGGAGATGGAAAGGAACAGCACATTTTCACAGCAGAAAACACCATGCAATAACATTATTTGTCATAATTATCATCCTTTCCTATGGAGTAATCCTCACTGAAAAGTCATACAGATTATTTTATAGGTAGTATATACATCCTGCTCACCAAATAAAAGTTAACTGACATTGAATAATATATTACATTTTCAAAAATAAATGTTAGCAGCATAATCATTTAATCATAGAAAAATCATAATCATAGAAAAAATATTAAATGTAATTAATTCTAAAGCTAAATTATAACAGGTCAAAATCTCTGTACCTTAGTTGTAAAGCTTCCTCACGGCTTTATCAATCAATTGAAGACATCTCCTTATTTCTGCACGGCTGATCTCCCAGGAGCACAGGTTGTGTTGCTTGTCTTTAAGAAAACAGTCTATCTTTTGGAAATACTTTTTCAGTTTCAGCCTGTTGATTTCTTTAATCCAAAAATACTGGGTTTGCTTCTTAGTTACACATGCCTCCAATTGCTCAATTTGATAATAAAGTCCATTTTGGAATTGTTCTAGAGCTGCCCCATCCCAGGCAGCTAGAGTTAGATTTTTGCTAAAGATGTAGAAGATGTGTTGGAGGATCTCTTCAATGGCCATTTTGACAGTTTCTTTCTGTTTGGGCTTTAAAACTTGCTCAGGAAATCTGAAGGACATTTTCTCTCTTAGACAATGATGCGGAAACTTTTTGCCCATTTTGTCCAAAAGTTGCAGGCTGTCCTCAATCACTTTTCTTTGCTGTAAAGGAAGGTGATTACAGTTAAGACCTGACATGGTGGTGGTGCACAACAGAATAAGGCCAATTTGTACCAAGCCAAAAGTATTCATGGTAAAGATAAGCTGCTATGCTTCTCCTTTCCTGTGTATGAATCCTGAGAGAGGGGCTGGATTGCTTTGAAGGTTATTAATAGACGTCTCTGTTTCTTCAAAATTATGAAATTTAATTATTCTGTAGGAGAAGTTTTCTTTCATCATTTTTTGGTTTTTAAGGTCTTCCCCCTTGTGTATGCTTTTGACACTTACCACTTTCATTTTCTGCTTTATGACTTCATTGTCTTTTTTTTGCCACTTTCTTTTTATTTCAGCTGGATATTAGAATGTTATGTATATCTTAGGTTGTACGTGTATCTTAGATCCCTCTTCCTCAAAAATTCTGTGGTTATTGTACTGAGAATTTAAAAGAATATGTTAGAGAAATATCCTAGTTTCTTAATATTTTAGCAGTGGGAAAACATGTTGAAACACAGCATTGTCAATGATGGGCCAGGGACCTGCCAAAAACTACTGTCAGCCTCTCTCCTTGACAGGATTTACACTCCCAAAATTCATCTGAACTCTCTCTACCTATTCCGGGAACTTATTCTCTTTCTCTTCACGTTTCCCTCATCCATTTAAATTCAAAGGGCAATAGTCCTTTGAATATATCACTAAAATACATGTATATATAAAAATATGTGTATTAGTATTAATATAACTATATGTATTTTAATACATGTATGGTGGTAATTAAACGGGGTCTTTTAGAGACTGTAAGTACAATGAGAATACAAATACTCACATGGAAACATGTTAGATAGCTGGATAAGACACAATTTTTCTCCATATGATCAATTGTGCAATAATATCAATGCCAGTAGAGCACAGGTCTGAATTCTGATGTTAAATGGAGAGAGAACAAACATGGAGACAAAAAATGCTCTAAAATACAGCCATTTGCTTTCTTTAGCCATATAGTAGAATAGGTCAGCACTATCACAGCACATTGTGAAATCTTGCACCTGCCTTTGATTTTATTTTGATGAAAGTGAGTCTTAAATTAACATTTAGCTGTTTCTCCAAGCCTTCTGTACAAACATAGCTCACTGCAAAGGCAGTCTACAAAGGCAGGTGATTACATCTGGATCAAGAGGTCCAGATAAACTGACTTTTTAGTCTGAGATCTGGCTTTGTATTTCTGTGCAGCTGTTGCAATGCCACCCATTGCTATGAGGCTGGCTTCATTCTTAGTCTGGTAATCACTCTGAGCAGATTTCTGGTACTGTTTTAGGGCTTCCTTTGTGTTCAGCACACATGTATTTGGGAGGCTTTGAAATGTTATAAATTAAGATGAGCACAATTGTTCACATGAGAAAAATCCTTTGATTTCCTCCTGTTACTTAAGCAAGCTTGAGTTGGACGTACTGCCACTGTGAAGAACAAATGAATCCCCTATCATCACTTTGGAACAGCAGTATTAAACAAAAAGGATAACAACAGCTGAGGCAGGACATAAAGTGAGTAAAATGGGACCAAATCTTTTCACTCAGTGGGAATGTTCAATACTTGGAAAAACAGGCCTAAAGTGCATTGCTGTCATTATATACAAAATGGCCATGGAGACATATTATGTGCAAAAATACAGCTGTAGAAGTTATGTACATATTAAAATCATAATTAAATCAATTAAAAATGTACCTAGTTTAAGCAAAATATTTCATACTACTACATCAGCTTCCGTAAGTTAAACACAAGTATATTTTTCCATGCTATAATCATTATATGATCTTAATTCTTCTACTGATGTTAAACAGATAAACTTGTTCATGTTTTTTACAACTCCCAGGCACACAAGTTCTTTCTTTTCTCTTCCAAAATACTTTTTACAGGTTTCCCTTTGAATGAAGAGCTGTACATACCATTCCCATTTCGTATCTTTTATAATAAAAAATTGTTCTTCCCCACTCAAATTCTTATCTTTTGTACTGAGCAGAGTAAGAATATTGCGTAACTCATGACAGTCTTCCCTAATCATCCATCTTTATTGCTTAATTCAGAAACAGTTCATTGAAAGTAATTACTGGAAGAGGCAGCTGAGTGCTATGAAGCTGCAGCACAGAATGTTTTTGTTATTTCTCTGTGGTTGAAGCAAAGCCCACTCTAACCTAGAATGTAAAGAGGAAACAGGTTTACAAAGCACAACCGTATTTCCAAGTATACCTAATAAGTCATTCATGTAAAAAAAGTACCTGATCTATGATTCCATTCAAGCAGCTCTGTCTTAAGAGGTCATCTTGCTGCATGTATTCATTGCAGGAGTGTAAGACTAGAGATAAAAAAAATATGCACAATTCTATGAATTTCTACCACCTTCAAATTGCCACAATTCACTTCCCTAAAGGAAGTTTGTAATTTCATTGTATAATGCAATGAGTATTTGGGACAACTATTTGTTATCTCTTATGACATGGAGTCTTTTATCTCAGGCACTAAGGCATGCGTTAAGTCTAAGCTACGTTTACGCTGGCAAATGGAGCTGTGCACAGGAACATTCCTGCAGAATAGAAACGTTAATTCTCCAATCAAAATAACTAGTTCCTCTCAACATTTCATCTACTCTCAGTTTCCTTTCTCCTTTACCTCATTCAAAACACAGTGATTTTAAGAGGTCAGCATGCCACCAAGGAATCCAAACAGGCTCAGCTTGTCACGACACACAGTATCTTAATAAGGGGGATTGTACATGATTAATACCATCTCTGGAGCTGCTGCACAAGGATGGATAAGGATAGGAAATTTATATACAAAATCTGCCATATGAAGAATGCATTCTGTAGTTTAAAATGGTTAAAACACAGTTAATTTAGCTTACATGCTGCAATTTAATTCATAATCAATATCACAGTCTGCACTAAGAAGATAAGATCCAGCTCAGCTGTGTGACCTTTCCAACTTGGCATACCATGTAACTGTTTTGTCTTATGCTGGAGTAATTCACATAAGCAATTTGTGTAGTAGATGCTTGCTTTTGCAAAGTATTGTTTCATAAAATACAATTCTACAAATACAGGTATTAACTAATAACTAACAAAAAGTTCTACAAATAAAGTTTACCAGGAAAGAGATTTAACAGAGCAGTCCTCAATGAAGTAGCAGCAAAGGGAATTATCAAAACCTACTTTTTAAAAGCATGGAAGTAAAAAAGAAAATTACAATTTCCATTTATGACGCTAAAGATTTGTTGCCTTACTTATAAAATACACTGTGGTTTGTCAGCATTTTTTTGTTTTTTTTTTTTTTCTGCATAAAGAGGAGCAGGACCTAAACTCCACTTTGTAGGAAACTAAATTAGCTGGAGTATATTCAATTTCTTGTATTGATAACTTGAACATCAGCACTCACCAAGGGTGTCTTTTTGCCCTGAGGCTCTTGCATCTTGCTACACAAGCTGTCAAAACCACTGTGCACAGACAGGGTCTTTGGCTGCCTTGCTGGATATGCCTTGATTTACCAGGCTGAATGGGCATTTGCTGTGTAGGAATACTCAGACTTTACCCTCTTTAGTACACATGGCCTTCACTTTTCACTAAGTAAATTTTTAGAGAATTACCGGACTATGACTGACAGCTGCTTTCATAAAATAGAGGAACTCTCACATTCATTTTATACTCAGAAAAATTACAGATCATAGATTATCCTGAGCTGGAAGGGACCCACAAGGATCAGTGAGTCCAGCTCCTAGGTTCTCAAAGGACCACCCAAGAAATCAGACCATACACTGTTCAAACACTTCTTGACAGAAACAAATGCCCAAGATAAAAAATGATTTTAAAACTCTTCTATTTATCACAAAAAGTCAGACACTATCAGAGACAGGTAAACATGAGAATAGAGCTTTTATTGAAATCTAAACAGAATAAAGGCTGCCCTGGAGAATACCATGACAAAAGCCATAAAAATACTTGAGTATATAAAAGAAAAATGGGAAAAAAATAAATCCATATATAGATAAAGCTCTGAAAAATAACCTAAAAAAAAAATAAAAAATAAAGAGAGACTAGCATATAAGCAAATATAAGCCCCTCTCAGGGCATACCCTCCAGGCCTCCTGCTGGCCCTGCTGCCCTCCTTTGTATGGACACCTTCAAGTACCTGAACACCCTTTTTATGCTGTGGAGACTAGAACTGAATTCCATACCCTGGAATTAAATTAAATGAAACAGGTTTTAAACCCCATGGTAAAATTCCAGCCTACAACCATGTTCAAGGGGAACTATCAAGAATATTCAGTGCTGCTTGAGCAAGTGCAATTTTTTTTTTCTTTTTTTTTTTTTTTTCTTTTTTCTTTAACAGTAGGAATGAACTTACACATGTTGAGCAGCACAGGAACAAATAGTTTTTAAAGTTTGGCTCTACTGAGTTATGTCACAAAATATAACTTAACTCATCCAAAACCCAACAAAATAAGACAATAAGGAAAGAGTTACTTTGTCTTAAGCATTCTATCATAGAAGAGAGAAAGTTGGTCATTCCAAGACCAAAGTCTATTCTGTGGATGTCAGCTGAGATTTGGTTTCTCTTAGGATTCAGACGAAGTTATACTAGCAAAACAAAAACAGACTCTCCTTATCCTACAGAATACCAAAACATTATTTCAAAGTTCAGACACCCTAATACTCCAAGTAGAGCAAAAGCTGAACATTTCTCCCTTTAACTCCATTGTTAACTTGTAAAGGAGTAGTACTTGTTCTGTGTTACATGGCACCTTAGGAAGTTCCAATACCTGCTACTAAAAAAATGGCTGAGCAAATTAAAGCCACATACTGCCAGAATTCTTTACAGACTGGATTCCAAACTCAGGAACAGATTAGGAGAAATGGCTCTGTCTTCATTTCTGCTTTGCCACGTGAACTCTGAGTCAACCCATCCCTCTACCACCAACCCTCTGGACCACTCCTCCTCCATAGGAAAAGAATAAAAGTAGAAGAAGAAGAACTCCCAAATTTTCTCTCACTCCTACACCAAAAAAAAAAAAGTAAACAGATGAGCTTCACATCAACATTTAGTTTTGTGTGTCATCCAAATTACAAAGTTGCTCTGCAGATACTAAGCAGATACTACAGCATAGCATCTTGATCAGGAAGTACTGTATTTCAACAGATGCTTCCCTCTTGGTTTTGAGAAATGAGCCAGAGTTCACTGAGAATTTTGTTTGAAATTATGAAAGGTAAATGTATATTTTTCTACTATTTGTTTACCATGATAACCAGTAAGGTCACCTACTGGATCTACTGAATACTGACAAGTTTGTTTGTTTGTTTGTTTGTTTGTTTGTTTTTTAAAAAAAAAAAGAATAATTATTCACTAATGAATTGCTGTCCTTGAACTGAATGCAGCAAAGATCCTGGGTAGGGCAAAAATTACTCTGAAGAACTGATGGTCACAGAATCACAGAATGGCTGAGGTTGGAAGGGACCTCTATCTAGTCCATCCCCCCTGCTCAAGCAGGGTCACCTAAGGCATGTTACACAGGATGGCATCCAGGCAGGTTTTGAATAACTCCAAAGAAGGATACTCCACAGCCTCTCCGGGCAGCCTGTTCCAGTGCTCTGTCACCCAAACTGTAAAGAAGTTCTTCCTCATATGGAGACCTCCTGTGGTTCAATGTATACCCATTACCCCTTGTCCTATCACTGGCCGCCACTGAGAAGAGTTTGATCCCATCCTGTTTATATTGTCACCTCAGGTAGATGTAGACGTTGGTAAGATCCCCTCTCAAACTCCTCTTCTTTAAGCTAAACAGGCCGAGACCACTTGGTCTTTCCTCATAGAACTGATGCTCTAATCCCTTAATTGCCTTTGTGGCTCTATGCTGGACCATCTCTAAAAGTTCTACATCCCTCTTGTACTGGGGTTCCCAGAGCTGCACACAGTATTCCAAGTGTGGCCTCACCAGAGCTAAGTAGAGGGGGAAGATCACCTCTCTTGACCTGCTGTCCACACTCCTCATGATGAAGGCTAGGATCCCACTGGCCGTCTTGGCCACATGGACACACTGCTGGCTCATGGTTAACTTGTTGTCCACCAGGACCCCAAGGTCCTTCTCTGCAGAGACGCTCTCCAGCAGGTTAGCCCCCAACCTGTATTGGTGCTTGGGGTTATTTCTCCCCACGTGCAGGACCCTGCACTTGCCCTTGTTGAACCTCATGATATTCCTCTCCACCCAACTCTCCAGCCTGTTCAGGTCTCTCTGAATGGCCACACAGGCCTCTGGCATGTCAGCCACTCTGCCAAGCTTTGTATCGTCTGCAAACTTGCTGCAGGTGCACGCTGTCCCTTCATCCAGGTCATCAGTGAATAAGTTGAATAGCACTGGATCCACTACTGACCCCTGGGGTGTCACCTAGTCACAGGCCTCCAACTAGACTCAGCACCGTTGAGCACAACACTCTGAGCTCTGCCATCCAGCCAGCTCTCTATCCACTCCACTGTCCACTCATGGATCCCAAGCTTCCGGCTCTTGCACAGAAGGATGTTATGGGAGACAGTGTCAAAAGCCTTGCTGAAGTCAAGGTAGACAACATGCACTGCTCTCCTCTCATTCATCCAGCCAGTTGTCTCAACATAGAAGGCTATCAGGTGGGTTAAACACGCCTTCCCCTTGATGAATCCATGTTGACTGCTGATATTTTCCTCCATGTGCTTAGAGGTGGCCTCAAGGATGAACTGTTCCATCACCTTTCCAGGGATGGAGGTGAGGCTGACTGGCCTGTAGTTTCCTGGGTACTCCTTCTTCACCTTCTTGAAGACTGGAGTAATGTTGGCTTTCTTCCAGTCCTCAGGCACCTCTCCTGTTCTCCAAGACCTTTTGAAGATGACAGAGAGTGGCTTAGCAATAACACCTGCCAGCTCCCTCATCGCCCTTGGGTGCATCCCATCAGGGCCCATAGATTTGTGGGTGTCTAGCTTGCCTAAATAACTTCTAGCCCAATCCTCTTCAACCAGGGGAATATCTTCCTCTCTCCAGGTTTTCTCTCATTTCTGGTAGTGCATAGGGGCTAGCCTTAGCAGGAAAGACTGAAGCAAAGAAGGCATTCAGTAATTCCACCTCCTCTGTATCCGCTGTCATCAAGGCATCTGCCTCATTTAGCAGTGCACCCACATTTTCCTTAGTCTTCCTTTTGCTACTGATGTATTTGAAGAAGCTCTTGTTATCCTTGATGTCTCTTGCTAAATTTAATTCTAAATGAGTCTTAGCCTTCCTCATTGCAGCCCTGCATTCTCTGACAATGTCCCTATATTCCACCTACGTGGTCTGTCCCTTCTTCCGCATCATGTATGCTTTCTTCTTCCATTTAAGTTTTCCCAAGGGCTCATTGCCCATCCATGCAGGTCTTCTGACCTTCTTGCTTATCTTCTTTCTTGTAGGGATGCACTGATCCTGAGCTTGGAGGAAGTGGATCTTGACTATTAGCCTACTCTCCTGGGCCCCCTCTTCCTCTAGGGCCCTGGCCCAAGGGAGTCCTCCAGTTAGGTCCATGAAGTGGTCAAAGTTAGCTCTCTTGAAATCCAGGGCTGCATAAGAACCAGGGCCTGTGAATGTGAGGCAACTTGCAGCTGCCTATAGAAGGCCTCATCCGCTCCTTCCTGATCCGGTAGCTTGTAGTGAACACCCACCGCCATGATGTCACCCCTGTTGGCCTGCTCTTTAATCCTCACCCATAGGCCTTTGACTTGCACTTTGTCCCCCCCAGGCAGAGCTGCATAGATTCCAGTCGCTCACTCCCATAAAGAACAACTCCATCACCTCACCTTCCTGGCCTGTCCTTCCTAAAAAGCATAAAGCTGTCCATGGCCATATTCCAGTCATGACAGCTGTCCCCTCATGTCTCAGGAACTGTGACAAGATCACAGACCTGTAACTGCATGCACACCTCCAGTTCCCCTTGTCTGTTCCCCATGCTGCATGCATTTACATAGAGGCATTTGAGTTGGGCTCCCAGTGCATCTGACTTTCTGGATGGGGCAATTATACCTTGTCCGCGTGGGCCTACAGTAGCTCTCCTGTTAAGCTCTGTTCCCTCTTTAGGCTCTGGGCATCCTTTACTGGCATGAGTGGGATGACATATCATCCCATACCTTATCGCTAGCATCCCCCTCTGCCATCAAATCTAGTTTAAAGCCCCATCAATGAACCCTGCCAGCTCATGATCAAGGACTTTCCCCTTTGGGAAAGATGAATCCTGTCGGATGCTAGCAAGCCTGATGTCATGCAAGGCTTCCTGTCACCAAAGAACCCAAAATTTTCGTGATGACACCATCCGTGGTGCCACATGTTAATGGACGGTATCCCTCTGTTCTCATTGCTATCAGTACTGGGAAGAATGGAGAAGACGACTTGTGCACCCGAGTTCCTGATTATCTGTCCCAATTCCTTTAAGTCCCTTTTGAATGCTCTCGGGCTATGCTTTGCCATTTTTCCTCCCAGATGTAGGACTAGTAATGGGTAATACTCTGAGATCAAACCAAGCCGGGTAGTTTCCTGGTGACATCTGTAACCCAGGCCCCAGGAAGGCAGCAGACTTCTGTTAGAGGATGGTCCTTTGGTATATTGGACCGTCTGTTCCCTCTACCATGGAATTATCACAACCAAACCCCACCTTTTCTCCTGCCTGCAGTCGTGATACAGGGGGTTAGCCTTTCTGACCCTGGCAGTATCTCTGGTGGAGGGGAATCATTGCTTTCTCCACCCATCAGTTGCCTTTCAGCCTCCAGGGCCTAGTACCTGTTGCTCAGGTCTACATGATAGGGTAAGATGGGTGAAGGCAGATTTCTCCTGCCACCTCAAGCCTGGACTTGTTTCCAATCATTCACATCTTTGTAGCTTCTGCCTTGTGTCTGCTGAGGGACTGGTACTGCATTCCCTTCTTGTTGGGGAATTCCTGGTGCCTTTTCTTGTTTAGAAGACACCAGAGCTTGGCACAACCATTCTCTCTCTCTCTTTGCATTCCAGATGCTCCTCAATTTTTCCACCTCTTCTTGGAGCTCAGCTACCATGCTCACATCTCATGCCACCTGCTCACATCTCATGCAATTGCTAGCTCTGCAGCTGCCCAAAGGCAGTGTGAAGCTTTGGCACTCCCAGCAGCCTGACAAGGGACTTTTTCGGTTTGGGTCCCTACCTCCTTTTTAGCAAGTGTGATCGTGGCCTTTTGCCGACCAGTTGCCATGACCAGTCTCTCACAGAAGCTCACCACTGTGACCTATCCACACAAACTGCTGCGCAAACTACCGCACTGTGCCATGACTGCCCCTGGTCCAGTGGCTGCCTTTGTACAACAGTGGAGGGCCCTCCTGACTCCACCAACACCTTGTCAACCACTCTTGCGAGAGCTGCCAGGTTCTGGTGGTTCCCTTGAGTGGCCTTGAAGCAGAATCCCCCTTGCCCGCCACGATCCCCCGCTCCACTGCAGAACGCATCTGCCCCGCAGCTGATCGCCTGATCATAAAATGATCGTGACTCATTTTAGCGTTCTTATACTCAGCCAAGCTATTAGCTACAATCTAATGTTTGCAGTACTTAACCACTGCAGAGACAGTTGTGATACGGATATTTGGGTGATCCCACATCTAAGAACAGCTGGAACAAAAAATGTTGTAATGCCAACAAATTCTGTCTTGAGTGTAAAAAGGCTTAATGAAAGTCAACTACAGTGAGCAGCCATTTCCTCATCTGAGATGCATCTATTCCTTTGTTTCAGCAAGAAAATTCCACCTTTTGTACTTTTTAAAGAGCATTAGAAAACCATGTTTTCTATAACATGAGCAAAAATATATTTTTCTACAACCTTTTCAAGACTTTATTTTCTATATAGCAAATTAAGGATTAAAAGAAGGAATGGGGAGGCAGAAGTTAATATGCTAAAAGCTAAATGGCATAGGTCTGTGTTGGTATTATTTTAAAACAGAAAGAAAAATAGATATGATGCTTCAAAACACTAGGAAGATATATCAACAGTGCAGTTTTCCACTGCTGCAAATACATTTACAGAAGTCAGAGGTTCTAGCAGACTAATGCTGTTCAGAAGAAAAATATGATACACAAGATTTGTCTAGAATATATTCTTTATTATTTGCAGTTTGTGTAAATTTTAATACATGATTGAATTTCTACATCATTTTCTCAGTTTCAGCACATCCTGGTCTTTTCCAACCAACCTAGTCAATTGCACCTTTATTATGTACAGTCAGAATTTATGAAATATTGCATATACATCTACGAACTTAGAAAAACAACACGCAAGGTAAATTGTTGCCATTAAACTGATACAAAAGTTAGGTAAAAGTGTCAATCCCCCTTTAGCGTGTTATGACTTTGCACAAGTATCAGATGTCAAAATGCACAACTTAAAATGCTTCTTGTTAAAGGCACTTACTGTTCTTTAAATACACTTTCAAATTTAGTTCTATTGCATCAAGAAGTGTATCTCCCAGATCATACTTTCATAACACAGCCAAACAGCCCCAAAAGGCAGCATTAATAAAAGGAAAAAAGAAAAGGTTTTCATTGTGTTAAAGTATTAAGGTACTAAGAATTAACACAAACTTTTAAACAGGATTTGGTCCTTGTAAAACAGGCAACAGCATTTAGGCAATAGTGATTTCTTTTCTTAGATGCTAACAAAATAATATCCCCAAAAAATGAAGTCTTCCAGTTTCAGCGTATGGATATGTCTAGGTTGTGTAGCATACCAACTAATTATCCCCAACAAAAATATAGCTTCTCAAGACTAACTACTGCTCCACTTTGGCTGTGAAAGAAGAGAACCTCAAAACAGCGTTATACTTCACATACTAGAAAGCCTACAGTTCTGTGTCTCTGTATCTGGATGGCTGTGCATAGTACCCCTTTTTAGAGTGGTCTGATAGCTGCCGGCGGTACTCTTCCTCCTCCTCTGCATCACTGCCACAACTGCCACGATTCTCTAGGTAAGGTCTGGTAGGAGGTTTCTGTGGTTCTGGAGGACGGCAGCTAACACAGCAAGACAAGGGAAAAAGAGAGAGTTTAATTCTACTCTGAAAAGCTGAAAAAAAAATTATATCCAATATTGATTTTATGGCCACATACAACCTAGAAAGGCACATGGAGCAAATTAAGCCCCTCTTAGCCCTTTTTACATCATTTGCATAGCCATGGTAAGCCTCCACAGAGGCATCTTATTTTCAGCAAGCCAGAGCTTCAAGTTCTGATTTGATCCACTCAATATGCCTGGAAGAATGACAAATTTAAAAGCATTAACTGCTCCACCACTCACCCACCCTGTTCAAGAGCTTTACAGTGCTTTATTCCCCCAGCACAGAGGTTTTCAGGCTCCTGCTGCTACCTCAACTGACTGACATTTTCCTCACACTTTTTTGCATCATTCTTTCTATGCCTGCTTCCTTTTAATGCATCTTCAGTCTCCTTTCTCAAGGTCTGAAGACTTCTTGTGTGACATTTCTTGATAGAATTCTCTCTTCATTCAAGGTTCTTATTAGGGCTCTTATTCTTAAAAAATAAGCAGAAATAACCTGTATGTTTGCTATTTATACACTGCGATGCTACCCATTTGCAGTGACACTAAGCAGATATACATAGATAAAATCTGCCAGGGAAGGGCATTTCCCCCGCTTCAAAAGCCACTGTTTTTGCAATTCCACACTGTACATAAATAAGATGTTGCCCTCTTCCCATACTGCCTCTGTGCTCAGAAACGTCCTCAAGATCAGTCATTAACATTTCTCCAACATGGCAGCAGCACTGATTTCTGCAATTAAGCAAATAACTCTGGATATACAGTTAAAGGTGACTTTTTTTTTTACTACTTCTTAAAAAACTTGTAAACCAACATAAAAAGTATGCTGTTTTGAATCCAGCAAGAAAAACAGTAATTACTACTTTGTTTTTAATTTTTGCATTTTAAATTATATACTATGACATCAAAGGATTTGACTCTTTAGAAAGAAAATGTCCCACTTCTATTGGTTGTAACTAAGAAGCAAGAGAAACTCAGAGCTCTGCAGAGAAGAAAGCAAAATCTATCACACAGTGTATTAGCTCCTGCATAGGTGTCTACCCAGGGGTAAACTGACACCATGATCAGACGATCCAGAACTCACTGAATTTTAATGAAAGACGCTCCAACATTCATGAGACTCCAGTCAGATTAAAAAAGAGAGTTCTCTCCTCAGCTGAGTGACTAGATGAGTGACTTCAGCAAAGTTTCATCCTTGGTTTCCTTACCCACACAGTAAATCTGCAGTTGACTAAGCACTTAGGTAATTAAGTGTTAAGTAATTAGTGTTTCTTCCTCGGTAATTCAAATACTATGAAGAAACTAAAAAAAAATCCTGAAAACAAAAAGTTCATTGAAGTTTTGCCCTACCTATACAGTAATCTTGGTGGCACCACAACAAAGCAATATACCAAAGTAGGATTGTTTTTTATGAAAAAAAAAAAGGCAAGATCCGTTCCTTGTTGCTGGTGAAGTAAACAATTCAGACAGAATACTTTAAACTGGATATACCTTACCTCATGGGTTGGGGCCAATTCTGTTCTGACTTCTGTGTTTTGACAGGGACAGCATAAATATCCGGGTGCTTCTGGGCTATTTCAAGCTTTAAAAAAAAAAAAAAGTTGGAGAAAATAACTGTTCTTTTTTAGTCTATCCATTAAGAAATCATAGACTGTAGATCTAAGCAGGTCACAGCTACATCTGAAACAATTAAAGCACAAACTGAAAACTATTCCTACAGCTGCATGATCTTTTGTTAGAGTACTAATTAAAACTACATGTGAAAATGATGGAGTGCCAAGAGCAGGAGGGTTTTCAAAAGACAGTTTGCTATAGATACAAGAAGAAGCCTAAAAAAATATAGCCTCTTTTTAAATCCAAATCTCTATATTCTATGAAAGAAATGATACTTCTAGTTGTGTAGGTTACCACACCTCTCCTCCCAAAATCAACACATCAACACAATGCAAGTGCAAGATTTTCATTTTCAGGATGCAGGCTGTTTTGCATGCTGGAAAGTACAGCAAGGGGAGAATGCATCTCTTCGTACCCTGGCATTCTGGGCCTCTTGTAACTCTTGCATTCTTTGAATCTTTGCCTTCTGATTCATCTCCTCAAATATTTTGACTTTCCTCTGTACAGACTTTGGAGTATTTTCTTGTTCACTTCCTTCCTCTTCCAACTTTTCCTCCTCTTCCTCTGCAGCTGGGACTGCTTGCTGAGTGTTTCTTAGGATAGGCCGTCCAAAAGCAGGTTTCGCAGAAACTGGTGGTGCTGCTTTAACTGATGCAGTTGAAGTCTCACTGCTGGCATTGATGCTACTTGTTTTGGAGTCAGAGTTTTTGGGGATGTCATATTGATCCTCTTTGTTTTGTAACTTCCCCTAGAAGTATTAAAAATGTAAACTATGTTTACAATAGCAATTTCATGATTTTTCTTTTCAAATGAAGGCTTTAATCTGAGATTAATCATTTTCCCTATGTACTTAATTCATAGTCGATTCTCATCCAAAGTAACACTTGGAAAGGTACTTGAACTGCTGCAACATTTTGGCCACACATTCATAAACTACACATTACCCTATAGAAGAGTAGCACATTTCGATTTATTTGTACAGTTCTATGAAGAGCACCAGAACTATAATATGTCATAGGGGACAACACAGAGAATATGTACCTCCCAGGTGATATGTCCGTCCTGCCTAACACAGAATACCATTCCTGGGAGTTTAGGAGTGCACAGAACCATGCCTGTTTTCTGTTCCACCATTATTTTCCACACATGTGTCTGACTCTGCCCAGTCTCCATTGGCAAAGCACATTGAATGTATTTTGAATGCAGACTGCAAGGGCACCTACCCTCATAAAGAAAAGACTTTGGGGAAAGGAGAAATCAGGTGTAGAAGGAGTAGAATTTAGACTCCAAGCACTGTTTTTTTTTGTTGTTGTTTTTTTGTTTGTTTGTTTGTTTTGTTTTTTGTTTTGTTTTGTTTTGTTTTGTTTTCCATGTACCATTTTGGAGCAAGGTTTGCATAGCCAGTTAATAATTTCTAGGGATGGGGACTGATTTCAGAGATGCTAGATTCTGATTTTGCACTTCACAATAATGGCCATCAGATAATACTTTTCCTAATGATTAGCTTAGATTTGTTTTTGCTGTTCTAAAAAAGTGTCTTTCAATTAATTAGCATAAACAAAGAGGAGTGTAGTTCCTTTTCCAAATAGAGATCACACACATTTGAAGACAACTAATCCCTTTTCTTTCTGCTAGGCTCTGAAGCCCCTTCCTTCATTATTTCTCTCTCTCTCCACATTTTTCTTGTTTTCTAGTATCTGATCATTCTCCTCGCTTTTCCTGATGTGCCACCCTGGAATTTCTCCAGAAAGCAAACTATGTATTCAGATCTGTTTCTACAAATTTACCTTAGGTGGTTCTGGCTTGAACGCTGGAGGTGGACTAGGTTCTCTAAGGATCTCTCTGCTACCAGCTTTCCTCAGCTGAGCTCTTGGTTCTGAGCTAAGTTTCCTTATGTTCTGCGGAAGAAAATAAGAGGTAAAATCACAGTAGTATCCAGTACTCAACCATTTTTGGTCTCTTTGAAGTTTACTAATTTGGGAACGGTAACTGAGAGTCAGGTGACTGACAGCAATCTGATCACAATCACTGCAGATATAATTGTCAAGTACAAGGTGATGAGACATAATCAGGAAATCTATCCAGTTAGGCAGAAAAGCAGAGTTATTATTACTTTTGTTCTACACTAGGTACTTCTGAAACACTACTACATAATGCTGCAGTTTAAAGAAAATGCAAGAGAAATCTCCTTTTTATTCCTACGTCATACATACTGGGCTTTTTTCATGAAGTCCAAAACCCAGCCTTGTTGAAAATCTAGGCATCTCACCTCCTCGTGATGCGCAGGTTCAGAGGACCGGCTAACAGATGAAATCCTTGGTTCATCCATGGTTTCATCAAGTTCATTGTCGGTGTATGCACCTCCTTCACCATCTGTATCTTCTAAGTCACTGATCAACCGACTATCACAACTCAAATAGTCAGCACCCATGGCAGTAAGGTAAGACATGCGATCATCTGCATCATCTTCCATGCCATCCATCTACAGAAAAGTCATTAAGAATTAAGGAATAAAGACTAAAGAATTAAGAATTAGAGGCTTATTAGGTCTCAAAGTCATGCTAAACAGCTCCTTAAAAATGATCTTGCAAAAACAAAATAAATCTTAATGCAGAATCTTAAAGGAAAGACCTGTAAAAGTCCTCTTTGCCACTTTCCCTTAGCCACAGCACTAGTGATGAAAGCTCCAAATTATAACAGAAAAAACAATACTAGATCAGTTTTGGTTACAAAGACAGACATTAACCCACTCCTTGTCCAATTTATCCAGTGTAGGTAAACAAAAATGTAAACAGTTTTTCCTGCAAGAAATTATCTTGAGATACCTGTATTGCTTAGTGTGGACTGACTGCTTACCTTTCCTTCTGATACCCATACTGCTTCACCTTGCTGTTGCTGAATTGTGTCTTTCAGACTACCGTACCAGCTGTCATTGGCTGAATTCAAATTGATGGTGGCTGTAAAAATTGAATGAAAAAGTATATATATACAGCAAATGCAATGTGGTCATTTATTTGCTCTTTTCTGTTTAACTTTTTGTTTTAGTATGGTGAGAGTGTTAAACAGATACTTCATTTAGATCACTGACTTAAAGTATTTTTATTTTATTGTTTGTCCACACCCCAAGCTTATTAACTGACTTACTCATTGCCTTTGAATGACAGTACGCTGATTCTCAATTTCTTTTGTGTTATAATTTGGCAAAACAAGGAACTTTGAGAAGTCAAAGAGATTTCTCATCGCTGTACTTTCACACCCATTTAGTTCCAGCCCACACATGAGTTAATATACAGAGCAGCAAGTGGATGTCTGTGAGAAACTAAGTTGTATTTTTACAGTTTTTGCAGAATTATTTTTCTGTAGGCCAAGGTAGTTGTGTAGTCATAATAAGGAGAAATGTTAAGTAGATAAGTAGACAGTAGAAGGCCTCACAGTTCCAAAACAAGGTAAAAGCTTGAGAAAAACAGGACGAGCAGTGTGAGAACAGTGAAACAAAGATCACAAGTTCTCAAAACATAGCAAACAAGAAATTAAAGGGTTGAAAAAAAGAAAACTTGTACATATATGGTATAGAGAAGTGTCAAGTAGCTTGTGAACCTGCAGTACTCAGCCAATGAGGAAACAGGAGAGGTGATCAGGCATTGGGTAATAGGGAATAAAAGGCTATGATTTGTTTACTAAAATGTGCTCCTGATTGGCAGGACACCTGCCATTGCAATCATGAATAAAATAGCTTCACAGAAGAGCCTGTCTGAAGAAAATTACTTCAGATTTTTCTCACATATGATTTAATACATGGAGCAGTTAGTGGATGTCTGAGACTTACACAGTCACATCCACTACTCTCTTGGTAAGCAGGTTTGACACACATTCTTCCTTACCTGTGAAGAGGTGGGAACAATTTTTCTTCAGCTTGTTTGCTTGCTCATAAAGCTTCCTTGAGCTCTTGTTAGATGTGGAGCATAACCTTTGTCTCATGATTTTCACACCCTGCTTACTGTCTGGGTTAAAGAAGACTACAATTGGAAACCACTGGGTATAATTTAGGAGATCCACTGCTTTAGGAGTCACATCCAAGAGAGCATGTTTATCCTGTAAACAAGAAAGCTCAGTCAGTGTTCTGCCTGTGGGGAACAAAGGGCAGTGAATGGAACATGGCACCCTAGGAAAACTAGGATGCTTTCCTCCACAAGGCCATAACATTTTGGATTTTTTTCCCCCAGTTACATTACATTCAGAAGCCACAGCAGGCAACCTTTTCCCTTCAGCTCCATTTTTCTGAACGACTTTTGCATGAATGTCCACATTCTTATGTTAATTAACTAACTCTCCTGTTAAGTTAAATGTACGGATTCCACCATATATTTATATTTTAAAATAAGTTGTGAATTTAACTAGCTTTTCTCTTTACCTGTCTATACCACAGCTTCCACTGCCACAACTTTTCTGGGTGCTAACTGTGGAGTTTTACCTACACTTAGTAAAAAGTAGAAATAAATCTCAATTATTTTTTTCTTTATATATATATATACTCCTTCTCAGCTACTTCTACGGTTAAGATGAATGGGATGTGTGCCGTGGTGGGGCATGAACTCTGTACAGACTTCTGTGGGACATTTTAAACCCTTTGGTACTGCTTTTATTGGGTTCAAGGCAATAAGAAGCATAGTACATTCCTTAGCCTACTTTACAGTGCTTTAATTTCAACCTACCTATTTGATCTCTAAACAGTATTATGAAAACAGTCAGTGCAGTTCCAGTACACATCACTTTGCTTTACAGTTACCACTGTATGAATTGAATGGGAAGTCATTGTGACAGCTGTAAAAAACGCTACATTTCTGATGGCAGTAAGGGCAAGTAAAGTACTGCATGACAGTAAGGCCACCCTGGCAAATTCAAGAAGCATACAGTACAAAGTAGATATGCCTCTGCTCAAATTCAGGAAGGACTGAAATAGGAGAATTTAATTTCTAGTGTCAGGTTCACCTTCTCATTTAGAGGACAGCTACCAGAATCATAGAAATTCTTCTTGAACATATTTCAATACAGCCTTATCATTAAGCCAACTCTGCTTATCACAGAAACAGATGTAGTGAAGATTTGAGGACTCTCAAGTTTTAGAGGCAAACAAATCAAACAACTTCCCTTTCAGTATAAGCAATTTTCATGGAGAAATACTCTACCTGTTCAATGATTTGCCTCACAGTGTTCAATCGCACTACCCCAGTTGACTTCTCTGAACCTGCATCTCTGGGCTCCGTCTCTGCAAAGACAACACTTTAGTTCATCTATAATAGCAGGGAGGCTATGGTTATCAAGTTACCCATTCTCTCATTTAAGAATGATGAAGAAGCTAGGAGGAGAGCTTACTTGCTGTCTGGTATAGGTGAGGCAAATCATTTGACAACTTCTCCATAGCAACATCTGCAATAGGTCCAAATATCACAACAGGTCTCTTAAAACCAGCTGAAAGAAAAATATTTGGAGGAAAGATAAGCACAGTAAGATTGGTTTTATACCTACACATAAAGCAGCAAAAAAAGATCTTCAGCTCATACACAAGGTTAGGAATTCATTGAAGATACCACTAAAAACATTTAACAGATTTTTTAAAGTTTGTGCAACAGTATAATTCATTTAGAAAGTTATCAGCTGAGAAAGCGTATTTAAATTTAACAACTTTGTTATTTCTCCTAATGACAGTTTGAGAGGATTCTATATTCTAAAAATACAGTGTATCTTCAGCTATCTTTCCATTCAGCATGAACCTGGACCTAGTGGGATTTGTGTGAATAAAGATACAAATGCTATATCAAGTGCAGAGTAGCCTAAAGAAGCAAAAGAAATGCATAATTCTGTTATGTTTATGTCAAAACAACTGTAAGCATAGTCCTTACAAATTAGTGGGTGAATGCCATCCCATTACTCAGTCTTCATCTGAGAGTTTCTTTAAAATATGTTTTACTGGTTTTTTTTAATATTATTATTTTTTGTTTGTTTGTTTGTTTTTGTTTTTTTCCCCACACAATACTATCTTGTGCAAATATCCAGGAAATTACATCAACTTGCCCAACATCACCAGCAATATAGCTAATTTAGAATGAGAGCATCCAGAAGAGATAGATGACATCAACCTTAATGACATCCAGACAATCTACTAAAGATACTTGGCTTTTACTTTCTCTCATGATACTGTTAAGTGGTGCTTATGAGCAAGGTAAAGATGGTGATTCATCTCAGGAACATGGATGGTACTTTCCAAGCTAGACACACAGAAGCTGAAGAAACAAACAACAAAAAAACCCCTGCTTGTTCCTTCCCGTATTTTAAACCTTTAAATTGGCATGTGTAATTTAGAGGCAAAGGAGAAGAGCAGTTTAGAAAACATAGAAAGGTTTCCTCTTAATGTAGTTAATAGCATCCAGAAATCTGCAGTCTGATAAGAACATTATCCCCTTCTGTGGTTCAACTCTAACACTAAAGCCCATGTTATTCCAAATCACTTATTTAGCCAAGCAGACTAAATGATGCTAAAACCACCAGCAATAAATAAGCACCTGGTTCAGAGCAGTCTCACTTACCCTCACGCAACTGAACTCTCTCATAAGCTGGGAATTTTGTGCTCACGGATACAATAGCTGTCAGATCTTCACGACTTTTCCTCAGATTCTTTTTCCCTCCAGATCGCTGGCCACGTGTTCTCCAGAAGTCTGCCCTGTCACTTGAGCCATCTTTCTGAGCATTTTGAACACTGGCCATCTGCTCAGCTCTGACAGAGAAAGCACAGAGATCATTTGTACGGATCTAGTCAAAAAGGGCAAAGGATCTTTCACTGAAGAGCTGGGCTTTGAACTTGTAATCGGTAATTTGCCAGCCATGAACGGGAAGTAGGAAAATACAGGAATTCAGGTTCCTTTGCCTTGGGACAAACCCAGTTAGAGTCAAAATGATGATCCAATTTGCCAGAGCTACAAGATTGCTGGATCAGCTCACAGGTCTTAAACTAAAAACTCATACAAGTATAAATAAAATACTGCAAAAGTACAGAGCTGGTGAGAAACTGATGCTCTAAAAAGTTACTTCCATTATTCTATTCTCCATTAGACCTCTTCAGTTAAGTCACTGCAGCATAGAAATCATAGCTGGTTTGGTAAGACCAATTACCAGCAAGGACAGAATTTACTAACCAGGAAAGGGGCAGGAGAATCTCATAAGAAGCGTATTTCAGGAACTTCTGTATGATGTAATTTTGAGCTTCTATTTTTTTTCTTCATCATAAAATCATGACCATACTTAAGGACTGAAAGCCTACAGTCTAAAAATACCCTTAACTGACTTTTTTGCTGATGAATTTTAATTCTCTTACTCAATGCACAAATTATGGACACTTGTTTTTATCTCACAGTGACTTCTATTAGGAAACTATAATTTAAGCTAAAACCACTGCTGTGTTTTACTCTGTACTTATAAAAATAAGTACTATGGGTACCAAGAAATATTAGTTCGGAATACGTTCTTGAAACATTTTCCGTAAGAATTAACAAAAGGAGTTCAAGCACTAGAAGTTCTTTTAAGAGATTAATTATCAGAGTATCTTTGCAAATACAGTAGTGAGAGCTTGCCCTTTAAAAAAAAATAAAATTTAAATTAAAAAAAATATATATATATATTTATTTATTTATTTTAAAATGGACCCTCTACCCATTTTGTAGAAGAGGAATTGAAGCCACTAATGGCCAAAGATTGACTGCTGCCATCAGAAGCTCTAGACCTGTGTTGCAAAGATCCAGCACAGTATGCAGGCAGCACAATCCTCTCATCTTCTTGTCACATAATACCATGGTTCTAAAATGTACAGTTTTGCAGGCACAACTATTGTGAAAATAAAAACAGAACAAGTTTTTTGATCTTGCAAGGAGGGAAAAAAAAAAAGAGGTATGACATAGAAAGCAAAAATATTTTGTAAAAATATTAACAGAATTATTACTTGGTATTAACAATGACAGATATTAACAATGACAGAATGTTTACTTACCTGCTCTTATTTGGAATGAGGCCCTTTTCAAGTTCATTTCCAATTCTCACAGCTAGCCAGTTTCCCAGTTTGCCATCATACAGTGTATCAACTACTCTAAAGATCTCCCCTCTGGTGAAGGCTAAGCTCTGTGGTGACTCTTTATCACACTCAAAGTGGCTTCTGATGAAGAACGAGTCTCCTCTGCCACAAGCCATGATGTCTCTGTAGACTGAAACAGGAACTCTATTTAGTTTATAATTTTTACACTTGAAAGATTAACCAGTTGTTCCAGAGAAGAGTTTTGAACTTCTTCCACTCCAAACAAAAATATGCAAAAATCAGCCTCCACATCCATTGTTCTTTACCAAAAGAAGAATATTGCCCAAAACATTCTATATTTGTACACATATAGCCCTTATAGCAGAAGGGAAGCATGATCTTGTGCCGTGACAGAGCAAAAGGCAGCTAGTATTACAGCAGGCTATGTCTCCAAACAGGAAAGCAAGAGGTACTGCTTGTTCCTTCGCTGCTTTTCAAATTGTCCATTTGCTGCTGCCTGACTGTGAATACCTTATGACTGCCAAGGTACATCTGAAAAGGAATGTAAACAGCAGATCTCAGGCAAGCTGCTGTGTGCAGAAAAGCAGAAGGAATATGCAGTATGTTTGCAGGATTAAGAAGAGATGCTACTTGCTAATAACAAAAAAGTTAGAGAAATAACTCTGATAAACATATCACACAGGCATCTCTACTTGTGGTATGGAAAACAGCTATCTCCTAAAATTCTGAAAACAAGGGTAACTAAAATGCTACCAAGAATAAGCAAGAGAGAATTTATTTGTGGTTTCAGTGACAAAACAGAGCTTAACACGCTCCTGATGACTGCAGAAGCTTCACAGATATACACACTTTTTGTTCAAAGCACTTACCTTCATATTTGCTTTGAGCCAGAATTGTCACTGTTTCACCTTTGGGAATTTCTAAGAGGTATAAAACAGCATCTTCCCGAACAATGCCTCTGAAGTCTTGAGTGTTTACCTATGTATAAAAGAAGAAAATAACATTTGAAAAAAAAGAAAGAAAAAATTTAAAAGAAACACCCAAAGCTTTGTTTCACATAAAAAATCTTAAGTATTATTTTCCCTTATTTTATACACTCTCACACACACACACACATATATATAAATATTTTCATAAAGTCAATATAGATATTTTATCCAGCCATTCACAGTAATCTTTCTGAAATAACAACATCCTGGATGTGCACTGCTAGACTGTTTCTTCTACTTGAACAGTCTGCATAAGGTGTTTAAAATAAAGGCTATCAAAAGAGAAAACAAGCAGAAGAGAAAATTTGATTAGCCTCCTATTTTAATATTAAAAAAAAAAAAAAGAAAAGAAGACAAAATAGCATAAAAGAATAATTCAGAAACTGGGAAAATTAAGTTGCTGTTACCCAGGGAAATTAGAGAAAGATTAAAAAGAATACTGGCCTCACTTTTTTCCCTCCAAGATTGGGAAGGAAAATTTATTCTCTTCCATCTTGGGACTTTTTTCTTTTTTGATTAATATTTCTTCTACCTCCCCCTTCCACAGAAGCTTATGCAAATCAATACTTGATATTTGAGTTGTCCTTCAAAAGCTGATTTCAGTGAAATCTCTCTACCACACAGACACATATCAAGAAATAACTTGCCTGAGAATATAACTTCTTCCATATTTACACTAAGAAGCACACCAGAAGAATACAAAAGTGGTCTGAATTTCAGGGACACATACTCATACCTTAAGAATCTGATCTCCTTCCTGCAGTCCTTCCTGATCGGCTGAGGTCCCTTCTTGAATTCCAGCAATAAATATCCCAACATCATTTCCACCAGCCAGTCGTAGACCCACACTGTCCCCTTTCTTGAATCTCACCATTTTTGTATTAGGACTACAAGATTTGCAAGCCAGAAAAAGGAAGTAAGGCCAGATTTTAGGCATATGACAATATTAGGATGTCAAGAGCAAAAAATTGCAACAGTTTCAGCAAAATCATTGTAGTAATATTCTTATCCCCTTTGTCTCATTAGATAGGCTACATTTACTTCAGAGAACAGAAAGCAGATAATTTGCATTTTTCAGAGTGGAAACTTAACTAGGAAGACAGACCAGGTGACACACACAGACTTGACAGAGCAGGAAAATGACTCTTAATTCCTGAAGTCCTGAAATCATTCCCAACCTATTGGATCTTCTTTCAACTGAGCAGCTTGGTTTTGTTTGTTTGGTTTTATTTTGGTTTTGTTTGTGAAAAAAGCCTGAGTTATGAGCAATCACAGAGTTTTTTCCTCTAAGCATCTGAGAAATGTCATACAAATTTACACCTATTTTCTTTGCAGTTTAATATTTATTAGATTACATGGAACTCTTCAAGTTTTCTTGTACAGAGAAATACTCCCAAGTATATTCTATTGCTGTGTTAACAATCATACCTTTCATATTCCAGAGAGGAAGAGGTTACTGAACAAGGTTCAGTGTTTTTCCTGTCAGAAAAGCTGTATGCCTAAGTGACCTTCCAACACAGAGGATAGTACTTATCTGTCAGCCTTTCTCAGTAATACCCTAAGCCTGTATTATAAATTCCCCTTCACCAAAATAATCACTTGATTAATTTGTACATCAATGACAACACATACAAGGTCCAACCTCAGGAAAGATCCGAGAAGAGAATCTATTTGAGAAAAAATCTTCAAGCTGCACAATCTTTAGGCTTTCCCTTACAATCCTAGTATTCCTCTACCTTTAACTTCTGTATTTGGAAACTCTCAAAGAAAACATGTAGGTTGATTTCATATCAATACAGTGCATAACTTTTAGTATCTTAACTCTTACGGAATCAACAGTACCAGGTTGAATTTACCCACTTTTAAAAACCATCACATATGCACACTCTTTGTGAGCAATATTTTGTTCATTTAGAGCAGAGATTAGAACTGCAGTATGGACTGCACAGGCTTGTGCAGAAATGCAAATTTCCGTACACAAGTTTCCAGCTTTTACAGAAACACATATATGTTTGGCCTTCTCTTGCAACAGACTTGTTTCCAATTTAAATAGAGGACATTCTCTTTGTATATTAGCATTAAGAGAAAGAGGAAGGTTGTCTTTTGTGTATGTATAAAATAATGAAGAGGTGTAAAATTTTTTTTATGCGTGCCATAGCATTGTGCAGGTTAGAATGGACCTTTACTGAAAGCAGATGTGCAGGACTTTGGTCATATAAGCTTTTGAGTATCTCTGGTGAGATACTCAAAATCTCAGCAGATTATGTCTGGAGATACCACAACATACATGGAATAGCTGTTCAGTGGTTAACCACCTCATAATAAAAAGTTTCCCCTGTTATATCATGCCAGAATTTCCAGTGTTCCAGCTTGGGTCTGTTGCTCTTCATTCTACCACTGTGTCCCTCTGAGAAGAGTCTGGCTCTGTTTTCTCTACAACTATTCATTATGTAGTTGCAGACAGTCAACTTTGACTTGTTATCTCTCCTCCAGGCTTAACAACCCCTTCAGTTAGAAGGTACATCATCTCTTCTCAGCATTAAACTATGAAGGGAGTATCGCTCCAAATGAGCAAAAAAGTCCAAACATACACAACCAAGAAACAAGTGGAGATCATGAAGAATACTGAGTGCAAAAGAACACAGCAAGTGCCTCCTTACCCATATATTGCTTCATCTTCAGGGCTGGGTTTAAGAATTGTTCTTGCAACTGGTTTGGGTTGAGACACTGTATATAAAAAAAGCCAATGTAAGCTATTAAAATGTAAGCTATTAAAAAATGTAAAAAAATGTAAGCTATTAAAAACAAGTTATAGCAGGAATTTTTAGTGATCAGATAGCAATCAATCTCTCCCATGCCAAAGATTAATATAGATTTTAATATAAAGCTTTTTTTCCCCCTAGAATTGATTTACTTTCCACCCATCCATTTCCTCCCCCCCCCCCCCCCTTTTTTCCCTCTAATTCTGGAAAATACAAGTAGGTCAATAGAGGAATATAGAACTCTTTTAGGCAATCCAGATCAGACTTCAGAAATAGCTCCACTTGACTGTACCAGACTACAGCAGAAGAAGCACTAGATGAGTATTTGCTTTTAGAGCCTGTAATTCTAATAGACAATTGCCTTCAGGTAATCTCTTGTGTTCCTTCTTTCTCTGCACCGCAAAGCAAAGACAGATCTCTTCTGTGTGCAAGGATGGGATTCACAGGAAAACTATACTAGACACATGGATATGATTTAGAGAGATTTTTTTTTGCCAGGAGATGAAGACAAAGGGGGAGAAGGAAGAGAAGATGATGAAAGTGAAGGCAAAGGAGGAAGACAAAGATGAAGAAGAAGATGAAGACAAAGGATGTGAAGATGAAGGAGAAGAAGAAGAAAAAAAAGATGAAGAAGAAAAAAAAGGAAAAAGAAAGAATAATTCAACTCTGACCTGCTGTATCATCTTGATACTTTGGTTCTTTGTTTGTGTCTACAACTGTGACAGCAGCAGAAGCAATGTCACCAGTCGATTTAAATGGTGTAGGCATGGCACCCATCCTGGACATCCTACTAGATGAATCATCTTTTGCACTAAATGAGAAAAAAAATGCAGTGAAACCAGTTATCAGTACACGTATTTTAAGTATTTCCTCGATAAGCAAAGTACTAGAAAAGAACACTTCTTACTTTGGTTTCTCTTTTAGTTTTTCATTGGATGAATGTGAATCAACATCAGAATGATGTAATCTGTCATCTTGAGGGGAGAATGATCTGTTTGACTCTATTTCTGAAATATCTATAAAAACAGTAACAAAACAAGAAATGCTTATATTATCTGCACATATAATCACCGCATTTATTTACAAAAGCTTTCAAATATAAAGTAAGTTGACACTTCAAGACCACTTCCTTTCCAAGTTGGATTTGTGTAGGGTTCAAAAAATGTTGCATGCTTTTTAGTTTCTTCCCCCTGGAAAATATCTCAGGAAGACTTCACACAACTTTTGGTAAACATGCACACACCACACAACAGCTACGACCACGCAATAGCCGGAGGAGCTAGTGTTAACAGACTTTTATTTGAGCTCTGCTGGAAATACAAGAAGACTACAGAAGACTACATTAACCATCCTTGTTACTGCTTTTCAGTCATGAAACAAAATGGCCCTCAGATTCAAACTGTATCTCAGTCATCACAGTAAAACCTATGAGGAGTTGTTTTGAGTATGCTGACATCACAGAAACAAGTATCTTGCATTATTTAATATAATATCCTGCTCCCCCAAACATCCTGAGGCCTTCCCAAAGCAAGGTCATGTTGTGAGATACAGCTCGTGCATTGTCAGAGACCACTAGTATGGAACAGATCCTGGAAATGGAAACCAGTTCTCCAAGGGATTTACATGTAATTTTCTTTTGCCCTGACCATTTTTCCCTCCCATTGAACACTGTAATGAATGTTAATGCCATTGGAAAGAGAAATCAGACCATTCCATTTGGTTTTAAAACTAAAGCCTTTTATTAAAGCAGCTGATTTGGATGTTATGAAGACAAAGATCGATTTTTCCTGACCACCATTGCTTCTTCTATCTCTGCCCCCAAGCAAAATGTATGATTACTACAAAATTCTTCTTTCACCTGAAAGGCAGTTGGCTTGATGCTTGTTTGGATAATGTTTAATCATGTATGCATTCAGTGTTTTTTTTTAATTATTTATTTTATTTATTTTAAGAATCTAGTGTCACTATATCACAGAAAAAACACCAGGCTTCAATTTATCCCTGTAAAGAGACATGAACTTTTTATCCCCATTAAACCTCACCATCCATTTCTGAGTCGCTGTCGTTCAGTGAAGGAATGTTGAGCAGTGTTTGCTTTCTGTCCCTGAGGACAACCAGCTGTAGCTTTCCCCGTGACTTCTCAATCAATTTTCGGGCATCAGATAAAGACATATTCTCTGTCACTGTCCCATTGATCTGGACATAAAAAGGCAACAATAACACTACAGGTAAACAAAAAAGTCCATATTGCACTGAAGTTTGATAGTGAACTTGACTATAAAATGACATAATCCAGAGAAGCCATTTTAACAAATAGTTTCTACATTGCTAGCAGTTTAGCCAGGACATACCTTAAGAATGATATCCCCTTCGTGAAGGTTGCCATCTTTTGTGGCTAGGCCAGTACTGGTCATTTCTTTTATGAAGATCTGACTTCCAAGCCGAAGACCATATTCTAGAATCAGGGAAATAACCCGCTGTAGCTTAGATGATGAGCAAGAATGCATTTTTCAAAACAACACTATGTGCATGAAGTATTATACCAAGAGAAATGAAAATGGGGACCCAGTAAACCTACTTAACCTCAGGCTTTTTCCTATTTCAGCACTGTCACCATACTACAAAAAATCAGCAGCCTGAAAACAATCACAGATGATTAGCCTGCACGGTCAAAAGCAATACAATGCCTTTGTTACGGAGGTGCTCATAAATACACTGGACTAGATTCTCTCCATATCATATTTTGTATGGTGTAGAAAGGCATGATAAAGAGTCAAAAAGTGCTAACAGAAGACCTGTTTCTTTTATGAGTTGCTTCATGCAGACCCTCTCCTATCTGTAACAACCCAATAACATGTCTCAGTTGTTTCAGGCAAAACGGAAAAAGAAAAAATACTGGTTTTAAAACGAGCACACCCTAGAACAATAAAGGACAGAAACACAGACACCTACTTGAAAAAAAAAGTCACCATGTTTGAGAGAATCTGCAGAGTATCCACATGAATGGCAGAAATTATTACAGAAATACTGGCTACATGTTGAACTTTTTAACAAAGACATCTGAAGTTTCTCCTTATTTGTATACTTATGTGCATTATCTTTGCTATTTTAAAGATTATGCGCAGGGGAAGAATAAGAAAGAGGGACAAACATCCTTGCCGTAGTTGATAAAAAAAAAAAAAAGAGAGAATAGCTCCTGCATTCCAAGATTACGCCAGCAGAATAGTCTTCCAAGTCACAACAGGCACATTTAAAGGTATATAAAAAAAAACAGCAACACCACCACCCAGAAAAAAAAAAAAAAAAAACAAACACAAAACAAAACAGAAAAGGTGGAACAACCTAATCTCAGATATGCTTTGCAGCACAACAATCTCTTTCACAGCACATTGTAAGATCACACTTTTGGCCGCCATCTACACACTCCAACACTCAACAAGGAAAGGCTGTTTCAGTTGTTGCTATTTCAGTAACCATTAATTACATTCTGAAGTATTCAGAAACAAACAATCCTTGGAACCACTTCTTCCCTTCCGTATAATTAAATTAAATGGTCTATTAAAAGCAGAGTCTACTCTTCACCCTTTACAACTACCCCTTTTGTAGATGTGCCAAGTGTAATCTGAATCATGATCAGATCCATGTTTCTCACCATATTCAGAAGAATAGGGAGGAGAAAATGAAAAAAACAAAGGACACAGAGGCTCGAAAATACTGAAATTATGTGTGTGAAGAGTATCTTGTTCAAAGATGAAGTCCACGGTGCTAGGGAAAAAAAAAGCAACCAAAACCAGTCATGGAAAATGAAAGAACAACTTAAGCAACCAGTGAAAAAGGCCAACATTTACATTCAGTGCCCTCGCTGCCCCCAGCAAAATAACACGCTGCATTAAAAGCTAATTCCTCTATTCCCCTCCTGTACCTACCCTCATTGTGTTTGCCTTTTGTTAAGAGAACACTGATGGGTCCATTCTGATCCTGCGGTCCTAGGTACTCATGTTGATGGTGCATTTCAGGCGAAGGACTACGGGAACGAAGCCTGTCTCTACTTCGGCTCCTCACCTCCCTCACGTATCTAGGATCAGGCTGCGATCCATGGCTGTAACTGGGTGGGCTGTAGTCTCCTCTGTAGTCCCGTTCATAGCCACCATCTCTGTCGATGCTCCTTCCCCTGCTCCGATCTCTTCCATAGTCTCGATCCAAGCTCCTGTCAACACTCCTACCACGACTGCGATCACGGCTGTATTCCCTGCTACGGTCTCTGCTTTTGTTGCGCCCTCTGTCCTCATCATCTCTATAGCTCTGATCCAGGCTGTTTCCCCAGCTTTGGCTGCGCCCTCCATTGCCACTACGCCAGCTTCTTTCACTGTAGCCACTTCGAGCACTTTTGCCATCGAAATCTGCATGGTCATCCATTACATCTAAAGCTCTGTCCTCATAGTCAAGGGAGGGGCTTCTCCTCAAAGCAGCTGCCTGCACTTTCCGTGGTCTTTTCACTACCTGTTCAAGGCAAGATGAAAAAAACAAAAAAAGAAACCTCCAGTGGTCAGAATGTGACATTTGGCAAATGAAAAGTTCTTCACATTTCAGATAGAGATGGGGAAAAATAGAGAACCTGAAAACCCTGAATCACTGCAGGACTGTACGTATCACACTGGAAACCAGTCTACTTACAGAATAACCAGTAAATGAGATTATTTAGATGTACAGAAGAAATACTAACTATGAGAATAATAATAGTAGGAGAATTAAAAATAAATTAAAAAATCAGATCAGCAACCACGTGATTTCACCTCTGCAACAGATACACTGCGGATGTTTTTTCTTTCTCTAGATGACTTCTAAAAATGTGACAGCCCCCTCCAACAGAGATGTTGATGCATCTCTGAAGGAAAGCAAGTCTGGACAGCAAATTCTTGGACAAGGTCTGTGTATGCTGGACATAATTTTACTCAAATTATTTCATTTTTTTCAACTGCCACTCATTTAGTAAAAATAAAAATTGAAGACAAATTTTATTCTCAGTTTTTCAACAAGATAACTTTGTGACGCTGTAATTTTATTTCCATTTGCTTCACCTGTATGAAGTATGTCTTTGCTTTAGTTATTTACTCTGTATGTTCAATTGGGCAAATGCTTTGCTGTATGCATTTATTGTCCATTTCATAGAAGAAAATCAAACCCTTGGTTGTTTACACAGGTACATACCACTTTACATTGAATACATTTGTATTTTACTTACAATGGTGGCCACTTTTCCACTTTTCCTAAGCTGTTGGACTGCAAAAGAATGTGGAACATTTTCCATTGGAGTCCCATTAACTATGACCACCCGGTCATTTTCTCTGAAAGAGCAGAGAGAAGAAAAAAGAAAAAAAGAAAAGTATTTAAGAGAGGTCTTCATGAAAACAGCAAAATGCAATTTTATTATTTTTTTTCTCAGGGATGGGGGTGAACACAGACCAAAGGATTTTGTTCTCTTTAATAGAGAGCTTTTCTTAAAAGCTGCATTTGTTATACAGCGCTGAAATACCTGAGATTATTACAAGAAGCTTTGACTATATTTGAAAACCAGTTTGGGTAGAATTGCATAACTTTGTACACTTATTATGCCCAGCTTCGGTATACTGCCGTAACTTTGAGGAATATTTTGTTTTTAAAGGACATTCATTACAACCATTAAAAATTTTACTCTTTTTTAGTTCTTCCAGAATGCCTAGTCCTTCACACCTACGCAGTATTTTTCACAGCAGGATAAGGATTTCAAGAGAGCTTCAAATTGCTGCACACCATAGCATTCAGACAAATCTCTACAAAGTACCACTGTAACACACAGCACACTCTTCTGAAAGATTGGTATTTAGGCCCCATTGACACTGGAAGAACGTGATTGGTCAAAACAAAACCAAACTCCCCAAAGAAAAATGAAATAAACAGAAAAACAAAAACCTAAAAACCAACCAAACAAACACCCAAACAAACAAAAGAACACCAAACCACACAGACCAAAAGAGATTACAAGTTCATCTATTCCAACCGCCTGCATGTCAAATAGACCATTAAGAAAGACCTCTCCTAGCACCTCTAGGAGACAAACCCATAATACATGATAAATTACAAAAAAATGTTTCTTCCCAGAAAGATTTCTGCCCCCAAAGTACAGGAAACTTAAAAATAAAAAATAAAAAAAAAATCCACCACTCCTTATATTAGTCTGTTTTGGTGATAACTCAGTTACTAACCTCACAGTTAAAGCATTAGTCTGAACTAACACTGGCTACTGTACCTTTTTCTGCTAGATAAGAGAAATCTTTAGTACCCATTATTTTCTCTTAACTGTAATCAAGTCACATCACAATCTTCTTTTTAAATAAGAAGATTACTTACTTTAAGCCTCTCTCTGTAAGGCATTTTCTCTAACTCCTGATTTTTGTGCCTCTTTTCATAACCTTCCAATTCCTCTTACTGGAAAAGTATTCCAGAACAGCACACTATATTCCAGTCTCAGTTTAATCTATACTTTATGCAAGTTAAAATAGCTCTCTTCACAGTCTGTGTACCCCCAAATAGCACTAAATAATGTTACAACACTAACATGGAGAACCCACATGTGTGTTCACTCTACTCTAGCAAGGCTTGCAGGACTGTAATGCCCTACACCTTGAAGGTTGGTCCTACATTCCTTAGTTTGCTAGAGGAACAGCTTTATCTTCAGTTTTCTTTAGGATGTGTTCTGTCTGCATGTCCACAAATTGCTTAGTATTGCCTTGTCATCACCAATTTACTTACAATCATACATAATTTGTGGACATGATTTTATTCTCCAATCATAGATGGTTATGGATCAGTATTTATTATCATGGTATTGTATAGGAGTCACTTTTTGCAGGCTTATGTTGAGAACGGTTTGTTACATGCTCTGCAATACATCTCTTATCTAGTCCATCAGTCCATTTACTACTCAGTCAGTCTTTTCATTACGACATCAAATTTACATTTGGCAAAATGGCCACAACCCACCTACTCTTTTGAGTTACTATTACTGTGGAAATTCACCATTCTTCCAAACAGTCTAGTCCTTATCAAACTATTCCAGAATGAAAAATTGATCAGCAGTGGACTAGAAATTGTTCATCTCAGCCTACGGATTTCAAAATACTTGTCTGTGATAGATGTTGCCTCACCAGTGAATGCACTATCAGAAGGACTACCTATAACCTGCATTTTTATATTTGTTTATTCCAATTATAAAATAAACATTTAGCAAAGGCTTCTGTTTCTCTTCCTTGCCCCACTATCATGCCCAACACGATAAAGGTTGAGACCTGCTGTTGGGCTCTCTATCCAACTTAACACCATCTTCTTGAAAACTAATGACTGACCAATAAATATGTTTCCTGAAGGAAGAACACGAAGAGTACTTTGAGATGCTAAGTTTTTCTACTATTCATTTAGAAGATATACGATCTTAAGAGAGACATAGCTGACTACAAAAGCTTTCCAACACTGCTGAAATTTATTTACTTAAAAATAGCAAAGAAACACCCCCATGGATTTTTTTTTTTTTCCTCCCATTTAAAACAGACATCTAAGTCTTCAAGAAATTATCACATCTCAATTGGTTTAAATCATCAGAAAGTCAACCATGCCCAATGAAGTTTTTACGTATTCTACAGCCATGACCCTCAAAATGCATCAGACAGAGAAAAAAAGAAATTGCTTACTGAAGTAATCCATCTGCTGGGCCACCTGGGAGAACATCTGAAATGACTATTGAAGTTTCACCATTTTCAAAATGTGGGTTATCTCTGCCACCAGAAACTGCAATCCCAAATCCTCGTTTTGAATCCTTTGAAAACAAACAACAAAATTCAATTCCATCAGAAGGCATTTTGATAGAGAGAAAGAAGAGTAGCACAAATCTTCTGTGATGGCACTCTACCTAGATAGTATTCAAAATACGATAGTTACATGCAGAGTTGCAGAAATATGCAGTACCTCTATATTTAAAAAATAATGGATATATGTAGCAAGAAGACATGTTCTTGTGTTCCAAAACCTCAATCTGCAGCCTTGTGATGGTTAGTAATTAAGCAAAGTTCTCACTAATGTAGTCTACATTTTGCTACATCATCCCACTGGTTATTCATGCCGAATTTATTGTTAGATATATGAGTCTATTGTGTTCGTGATGCTTGGGGAAAACAGAGGAGCATTTTCAGCCTTCATTACAACTGCTATCCAGTCTTCAGTAACTACTTACTCCTCCATCAGTATAATCAAGATCATGGCTGACTACAAGAAGCAAGCAGTGAACTTGTGAATGGTCTGTAATTATCCTCTATCACAATCAAGCAGTTTAAATATGTAATTTATGTGCAACCTGCCTTCATAGAAATGTCAGATCTATAAGCTCTTATGTTTTGCATTTATAAAATTAAGGAAGTATGTGTGAAGGAAGCATGCCTGTAACACTAGACCTTAAGTGTTAGCACAACACAACTGCAGAAAAGGTGTCCACAAAACTACGTTTTTTTTTAAACACATAGATTAACGTTATTAGCTATTCAATACAGATCTTCTCTCACTAAAAACAAAACAAAACAAAAATTATGCCACATTTAATACTTAAAAATGTTTTTAACTTACAGATGAATTAATACTCCAGGTTAAAATAACACTTTTCCCACAACTCTGCATGTTTATGTCATCACATGCTAGCTGGTGCTCCACTGCTTTCAATAGTAAGTGGGTATTTATTTGAGATGGTAAAAAAGCAATGCTTTGCACTTGCTGCACATTAGTTGTACAGGAAGCAGACTGACACTTCAAGCCAAAACAACAGAGAATTAAAAATAATGGTAGAACTCATCGGTAGTTCATTTGTACTTGACAGCACAAGTCCAATCAACCCATACTGCATTAAGTGACAAAAGTTTATCTCTGAAGCAAAGAAGTAGTTTACAGGTTACTCAAGATCTGAAAAGTTTTAAATTACAAAAAGGTCTCCTTTTGCAGTGTTTCTCCTATCTACCTCTGCAACATGAAAAACAATTCTTCCTCAAAAACTCAGCATATAAAACGGGTTCTGTAGGCAAGAGGACTGTTTTACCTCAGGCCGTGGTCACCGAGTTGATTTCATTGCAGAATGCATAAAAAACATTATCAGCATAGGACAACCTACTCATTGAACCCAGATCATCAAAAGAGATCATCACCGTCACTGCTGCTGAAGGACACATCCTGTACTGTGTCGAGGTAGCCTAGCCATGACAGATCTCAGAAGCAAGAGATGAACTTTCTTTAACTCAAAGGGAATTAGTATACATTGAGTATAAATTCATCTTTTCTTAAAGTAATTGTTAAGGTGGCATCTGTAGCCCACATATTTAAGAAATTGAGATAACAGTAATTTTCCACTAGATTCTACACTGCTAGATATGAAAGATATGAACAAATCAGAGAAAATGTGTTCAGGGATAATTATAAAGCTTGGACATTAACCACAACTGCTTGATAAAGCCATCTGCTTTGTTTTTAAGGTTATTCAATGATGAATTTAGCTATGTGGCTGGCACATGGTATATTAGACTGCCATAACCAACACCAAATAAAAGCAAGTATAGCACTTAAGTGGTTAATTTAATTTACTCTTAACATTAAAGAATCACATTATAGTATGATTAACTAGCAATTAAGCTTTAAAATAGAAAAGATATCTGATTTGTACAAGACATTAATCATATTCTTGACTCATATAAGATAATGACATTTATTGTAAAACATTTTTAGACTACTGCAGTGCTGAATATTTGAAAACCAAAAATATAACAGGCACTCACCTTTTGTAAGGTCACAGTGTACTGTTCCCATATCAGCTCTTCCATGCCTGGGGCCTGTTGCACACAGAAACCGATTAGCAAAACACAAAGCACACAACAATCTAAACTGTGAAATACCACATTAAAACACATGTATAAATATAATAAAAATAAATATAAGTATTCTAAGCATTTGGTAAAGTTAGTATGAAGTGCATGTATTTAATTTGTATTTATTTAAAAATGGAAAAAAATATTAATAGACTCAGGTTGGTAGACTGTCTTCAAATTTCACTGGTTTAACAGCTCATCCTCATTTTCTGGAAAAGTTTCATTCAGCATAAGCAATTCATTCAGATCACACTAGCATTATACAGTCCTGATTCAAATAACACAAACTCCCCGATAAAGATATCTCCATACCAGTATACCATTCAGCAGTTGAAACTGGGATCTTCAAAACCAATAAGCCTTCAGATCTTTTCATCTTAGTACATATGGATTTAACAAATGCTAAATCCACCCCAAATTACACAATTAAATATTTTAATTCCCCTTCTGAAATTCATTTTTACAAAAAACAGTTATCACTATATAGCACTCGTATATCCATTTCTATGACACTTCTCAAAAATCCTTTTTTTCCCCCTCCCACATTTCCAGTTAAAACTGATCCTGAACCGATCAGTTTATCTTACATGATATAACCTGAAATCTTTCCAACATCACAGCTTTAAAACACAATACAGAATAATCACCCAGCTATGATGCATCATATAGTAAGTACATAGCCAGCTTCTGGCCTTTAAACCAAGAGAAAAAAGGAACCACTGTATTTGATACTGAAAACTTTTACAAAGCAAAGCATACTTTTGCAGAAGAAAAATCCAAGCACTGCATGAGTATATGCATACATATACGCAAGCCATTGATTTATTTGTTTTTACTGCTGAAAGAGGACATCTTTCTTGATAAGGTAAGAGTTTTGTCAGGAAGCAGAAGTTCAGACAGAAGCTTGATTTTGACTTAATGGTCTTTATAAAGGCTTTAAAGGGATTACTGGCAACTAAACTCCAAAGGAAACAAACAAACAAACAAACAAACAAACAAAAACAGATAAGAGATGTGAAGAGCATGCCTCTGTTTGAAAGAATCCCTTATATTTCAAGAGTAAATGTTTTCTGGTAGTCAGCAACCATTCAGCAAGCCATGGAAGCCATTTATCAAATGCAAGGAGCACCACAAAGTGTTCTCCCAATGGATTTTGAGCACTCCAAAGCAGAATGAAGTTTATGTTTTCCATTGCATGGTCACCACATTAAAAAACCAGTGTAAGTCCTGCTTAGAGTTCCTGAAGGAATATACAAAATATTCAGCATTCTTATTAGCAAGTTCACAACACTGAGCAATGTTAAATATGCATCAGTACTTTTCGCCTGGAAAATGGACAACACTCTCTAGTTTCTAGGACCCTTCAGGTGTAATTAAAAACGCATTTCACATGGCTGTTAAGAGAAGATGTAATATTAAAATTGACACAAGTATTTCTAAATTTTTACTTGTCTAGAACACGTAAGAATGAGTGGCATTTGCAAGTTACTAAAACATAAGTGTCCTGGATAAGTTAATTACTCTGTTTGCTGAAGCACATGGTGAAATTATTTCCTCTGATATTTCCATGTTAGCAGCTGACATACCTGACCCTTCAGCTAGCTGACACTGAATTGTCTCAGTACATATATTCCCTTACATAGATGAGGTCTATGGTAAAATAAAAATAAATAAATTCTCATTAACTACATGCTTATTCTGAGCCACTGTGACAAACAGAAGTGAGTTGGATTGCCTGTTTTGCATGTATGAAAATGGTCACCTACTAGTGACCCTTAGTTACACCATTACTGTCCTACTTGTCTATATGACATTTTTAAGCTATGCAGAAAACCAGTCTGATCTAAAGAAAGGACTCAATGTCATTTAAATTCCAGTTGGCTTCACTGAAGAGAATTTTAGAAATGAAAGGATCAAATGATGGGTAAAACTTAAAGGACAAGCAGCTGCGCTCCAATTTTGCAGAAGCGGGTTAGATGTAAAATCTCTTCCATCCTTCTTACTGCACACAAGCCCAAAACAACTTACAGGTGTGACAAGAACTTCACTTGTATCCAATTTGCACTGCCTGCAGTCCTTACCAACACTACCTACCAATCCAACACACAGAGACCAGCTCTGCGCAGACGAAACAGGGTGCAACAGGCAAGAGCTTGCTGCCCTTGTGGGTGGAGAGCAGCACCCTCACCCTGCTCTTCCAGCAACTCTAAAATCAGGTCTTTGATATTCCATCTGCTAAAGGCCACTCTGAGAGAAATGACTGCTTATTCAGTACAATGGTGCAGCAAAGGGACTGAGGAAAGCATAGTAACGATATTAGGAAATGGATTTATAGGTATGAAATAGCTAAGCTGACAGGAATTTCCTTCAAGAACATGATGCCTCCCATCCGCAGTGGCACAAGCAAAACCTTCTACACAATGGAAGAGATTCGTTGTGTACTAAATCAAAGCATCGTAACCTAATGTACTTAAGCTTATTTTGGTCTGGCAAGTAAGTCTTGTGGTATCTGGAAACAAAAACAAGTAAAAAGAAAGGAAAGGAAACTGCTGCCTCTACGATTAAGAACCTGCAAGATGTTGAGCCGATAGCATCATGCATCTGTTACTTGAAGGAGTTCCTCAGAGCATCATTTATGGTCTTCAAGTACTTCCTTTGTAAATTTGGGGGAGGGAGTGTATTTTTGGCTTGGAGCTGTTAGTAAGCATCAAACAAAAGCTACTTAAATAATGCACTTTGTAATTTGTAAGTAATACATTTTTAGAAACTACTCCTCAGGAAACTGCCTCCCAGTTGCTGTATGCTGAATTAGTGAAGGAAAGTACACCATGTACTTGCAAGCTGATTTTGTGCAACATAATTACCAAGACAACAGCACCAGCTCTGCTGTACTGATAAAGCTATGCAGGCTATGTGACACAGTTCAGAGAACTGAGTGGTCACCTTGGAAGCCCGTAAGGCACAAAACACATCTGTACTCCCTCAAATCTCTAAGCAATAATCTCTTTAACATCATAAAAAGCACTGCTGCTTGCTACTGCCACGATACTAACCCATACTGACAGATTAATGGAGAAGATTGAGAGGGAGGGAGAGACATGTTATAAATCACCAGCTGAGGACTTCATAAGAACTACAATTAAAGTCTCCACCACAGTCACAAAATTCCTGTTATTCCACACCTAATAATGACTCTCCTCTGAAGGCACCAAGTGATGGGTCACAAAAACCCTCACACCCTTGCCAACTTCTTCACACTTCATCCGTAGGGAAACACGAAGGCATCCTGAACAGCCTGGATATCCCTTGTAGGATTGCCATTTCACTGCAAGACTGCACACCAAAACACTGAAAGACAGGCAGAGCAGTAAGGATCCCACCTCCAATTACCAATTGTAAATGCTTTGCAAGGTTTCACACAGATAGCAGCTAGCTGCAGCAAACATAAATTACTGCAATTAGCTGGTCTAAATTCATTAGTGACTAAAGTCAGTCCACTTCTAATCAGAACACTGTGCTCAGGCTTTGCTTAAATCTGCCTAATTCTCCTGTACCCAAATGATAGGTACTTTGTACGTGCCCAGAACAGATTGCTTAACCCAATCTCTGGCAGGAAACAATGCAAAGTGCTAAAATGACCCGCGTGCTACAAGCAGGCAGCTGTTGCAACTCCCACTGACAGTCGTCAGAGATTTACTTATGCAACTCCTTGCTGCTGAGAGATGACCCAAGCCAGCTTCTTTCACGGTGAAAGAAAAACACCGCCAGAAGACCTGCCACTGCAGGCATCTGGCTATGAAAGTGAGTTGGAGGGGGAAGGAACAAGGCACTGGGGGGGGGGGGGGGGGGGGGGGTGAGGTGAGGGAGGAGGGAGGAAAGACCTGGAGCAAGATGCAACAAAAAGCAACTCACGTGCCCCCTTAAAATCCTCAACTTTTTGACTGCATGTGACCACATTCTCTGCAGAGCTTGAGCCGTCTTCATTGTTGCAGGATATAATCTGTTAGGGGACGCCGTGCATCCCGGTCTTTTCATCTGTTTCTACCACTCAACACGGTTATGTAATTCTAATACAATAGTGGCCTACATACTCAAACAAATCCTGCTGCCCGTTTCGCACAGAAACACATCAAAAACACAGCAGGGAAATCTGCTCGGAGTTTCACTAACTCTCACTCTCAGAGGCCCCGGAAAAACCCAGGATCATATCCTTATGTTTAAAAATAATAAAACTCATTATTATTTTAAGTGTCAGGAACAGATCAATATGTAGCAAGATATTCTTCTTGTAAGCACATATTGCCCTCCCCCCCTCCCCAAACCAATCTGAAACTTTAAAGAAACGGGGTACCTCCAGTTTCAAGAAAGAGGGGTGGAGAAGCACAATGCAGATTACCCGCAAGTTTATATTCTGACTATAGCATTTCCCAGTAAAAATTACTCAAATTAATGGAGTGAAGGGTACTTTAAACTGTGTTTAACAACCTCTATCAATTCTTAACACTTTAACTGCTGAATCTGGAAGTCCTTATGCAGAAATAAATGTAAATGTATGAGTAATTCCTTCATCTGGACATATAAAATTACATTTAAACATTGGCAAGACTGGTGACATGGCTCCAGAAAGCAAGAAGGCACAGAGCAAGCAGTTTAAAATGTGAAGCAGACAGGAAGCCATGCCAAGTGTACAACACTTCTCCATGCAAAAGCCCCATCCACAGACCACATTTTTTCAAGAGCAGAGGAGTTTTAACTGCTGAAGATGGACAACAGTGGAAAATGTGGAGTTCAAGGTTCTTCCATTAAAAGACCAAATTCAACTTCTGGCATTTCAACTGTGACCCCATCAGCCTGTTGCACTTCCTAGCACAAGCCAGCAGAACTGGAGCTTTGTGCCCAAGCACTCAGCTATCGAGGGCAAACACTATTCAGGGAAGTGCACTGACACCGGCCTCTGGCTGGGG